CCTGCCGGAGGCTGGGTGGGGAGGGGCCTGCTGGCCCGGGCAGCAGTGGAGAGCAGGGGGTGACTGGCAGAGCTGGGGCCGGCCGGGCAGCCTGGCCTGGGCCTGAAGCCACAGAGCCGCTGCCCCAGAGGGTGAGGACCAGCCCTGCAGCCTCGCTCACCGGAGCCAGCCTGGCCCTGGAGGCGGGGATGCCGTGGCAGTGCTTGGCAGGTGCTAGGGGAGGCAGCCAGTGCGGCGGGCTCCAGTGGAGCTGGGGGGCGGGTGTCCGGGACAGTGAGGCCCTCCGCAGGCTGGGGGGACACCCAGGACCGTAGCGGCCTGGCTCCCGTCGCTCCTGCCCCTGCTCAGTGCCAGGCACTGTCCCCCCAGAGGTGTTGGGGCCCCTCCCTGTCCCTGGGCTGAAAGAACCAGGGCCGGTCAGGCCATGTGGGGAGCTGTGGGAGCCCCCATGGTTCCTCTGGCTCACCCCAAGCCCAGGACCAGCTGTTGGACAGGGCTGGGTGAGGTGGGGCTGCGAGCCGGTGGCCTCTCCCCCTTGGATCCAGGCTAGTCCAGCCGGGGCCAGCAACCCAGGAGGGCACCTGCGCCCAGGCTGAGGACTGTGGAGACCCTGAGGGGGATCCCCACACATGCCCCAGCTCAGAGGCGGGGGTGGAGCCTGTGTCCCCAGCAGGGCACAACCCCCAGGAGGAGGTGGGGGGCCCACCCCAGGGGTATCAGGCACAGGGCAGGGGCTGCAGGGTGCAGGGTGGGGGGCTCAGCTCCCTGGCAGCACCTGGGCACCCCTGCTCTGTGCCATCCTGCCCGGAGGCAGCCGGGCCAGGCCCCAGGGAGGAGCCGGTTGCCCCACCGGGGGTCCTGCTTCTCCTGGTGCCCGGCCCCCACCTCCTGCGGTTGGGCAACAGCACTAGACTCTCGATGCAGAGTCACAGGTGACAGCCGCCCTGGCCTTCCGGGCTCCTCCCCTCTGTCGGCCTGGGGCGGGGGTGGGGGTTGTCGAGAAGCGCGTGGACCCAGCCACTTCCTGAAGGCGCTGCAGGCCTGCGGAGGGGAAGCCGGTGGCTGCGACTGTGAGTGTGGCCGGTGCGCGGGCTGCTGGGTGTCCACTGGGGGGCCGGGGCTGGTGGTGGACACCAGGCTTCTGCTGTTCCCCTGGAGGCGCGACCACCCTGAGACTTCTGGAAAGTTCTCTGGCCTGGCTGCTGGCCCCAGGGACTGGAGAGTCCAGCCTGGACTGATCGGGACCCCAGCTGCCCCGTGCTGTGGCTGATCTCGGGGTGTCAGGGTGCCGAGGCCCCGGTGCCGCTCTCCAGGGCCTGTCTGGGCAGTGGGTGGCTGGGGCCTGAGCAGGGCCAGGTGGACAGAGGGTGTGGGGAGCAGGGCTGTGGGCAGGGGCTCCCTCAGGGGTCTGTGCTCGGCAGACTCCCTGCACCTGCAGGACGGGGGGATGCACCCTCGGCGGGCGTGCGGCGCACGTGGACGGCAGAGAAAGCACACACGGGGCCTGGGCCTTGACTCCCTGGCGCTGGACCGCCAGCCCCCACCTGCAGGGCACAGAGCCGCTCAGCCGCACCCACCCCGCGCCTCCCCTCGATGCCCCCAGGATCCGGGGCTCCACGTGGGTGAGAGGGCGCAGCGGCCCCCTGCCCAGAGCGTCTGGCGCGTGGGGCAGCCTTGAGGGTCAGTGAGGCGGCGGGAGGCGCAGTGCTCCCTGCGGGCGGGTGGGGCCCTCAGAACCGCATGCTGAGCACGCCTGCCCCCCCCATCCCCGCAGGTCCTGAGCAGAGGCCCAGACTGCCTGGGGCGGCTGCTGCCAGAGTCCAGTGCCAGCACCTGGCGCTTCCGGGCCCAGACCCCCACGGGACGGGACTGGCAGCCCTCGTCAGGCGCCCGCCCTCCGACCCCCCTCCCTGGGAGCCAGAGAGGACCCGGGCCCGCCTGCACCGCCCGGCACAGCCTTCCCTGGGTGCGCAGCCCCCCAGGACAGGCCATGGGGCCCCAGGCTCACGGGCGGCCGCCTGGCCTGACGGGAGGCTCACGCGCTGCCCCACGCGTCCTCGCCGGCACCCTAGGGTACTCGGGGACTGGGAACGGCACCCTAGGGTACTCGGGGACTGGGAACGTGGGCCGGTGCCGGGGGCAGGGGCAGGCTGGGAGGGAGCAGGGAGGGGGGCCTGGAGGAAGCAGAAGTGGGGCGGTAGGGTGGGGAGCGGGTCTGCGGCTGTGAGTGGGTGGGGCGGCGTCTGGCCTGCGGCTGCCATGACACAGGACCAGGGCTGCCGGGTCCTCCTGGAGGTCATGGGCCCCCGCCTGGGCCCCCAGCTGGGCAGTTTGGTCCTGGGCCGGGGGTGGCTGCAGGTTCTCTCGGGGCCCCAGCCCCCACCTGCCTCCCCTCTGTGCGGCCGCCTCTGGGCCTCAGCCCCCGGGCCCATGGGTGCAGCCACCAGCCTGGCAGCCCCGCGTCCCCCGCTCTTGCTGAAGTGCTCTCCAGACACCCCGCGCCCGTGGCTCTGGGGGAGCAGGTTGTACCCCCGGGAGGGGTCATCCCCCCATCTTTCCAAAAGCCAAGGTGACCGCTGATGTTGGAAAGCAGCAGGGGAGGCCAGGGGGCCCTCCACGCTCCCGGTAGGGGCATCCCCGCAGCCTGCCCCCCAGGGCCCTGCACAGGGGCTCCCTCGCCCCACCCGGGGTGTTGGGTCTGGATCTCATGCTGGGCCCGCCCATGTCAGGGTCCCGGCAGCTTCCCCCTGGCGGCCAGGCCCGGGCCTTCTCCTCGCCCCAGGGGCCGCCCGCCCCGCTTGCAGGGCCCGGCCCGGGACGGGAGGGCAGCGCGGTGGTCCCTGAAGGCCCTTCTGCAGGGGCACGCAGTGCTGGGAGAGGCGGCTGGCGGCTCGGGGTGGGGCCGGGCAGCCCACAGCCCCAGGTTCTCTGCCTGCCAAGGAGGGGCACGGGTGGCGGGGTCCCTCTGCCCAGACGCAGGCCTGCCTGCAGGAGAGTGGGCGCAGGTTCTGCTCCGGGCACCTCCAGGCCTGCCCCAGGCCTCCCAGGGGTCAGGGCGGAGGGGGCGGAGGGAAGGGGCAGAGCCAGCACCCGGCGGGTCGTGCTGTCTGCGGGGGCGTCTCCGGGTAGAGAGCGGGGGGCGCTCGCAGGCCAGGACGTTGGCGGCTGCTTCACCCCGGGAAGCGCCTGGTTAGGACCCCTCGGCCAGGCCAGGGGCGGGGCGGGCACTGCTGGGGCTCCCCGCGTGTGAGCAGGGCACACAGCGCCCCTGAGCTCTGGGCGTGCGAGGGAGCAAGGAGCCAGCTGTGGCCCAGGAAGGCGAGCTCCCCGGGCCAGGGCGAGGTGGGGGCGTGGGGGGGGCATCCAGTCAGCTGGGGGACTTTGGGGGGTTCCTAAGTCCGCCCGTCTGTCTGATGCTGGAGGCAGAGGCTGCCTGGGGTCCCCCGGGCCGGGCTGCAGCTGTCCCTCCTTTGTCACCCCCGTCGAGGCTCAGCCACCCCCAGAAGCCTGGATGGGCAGCCCGGACGGTGGCGCCTGTTCCCCTCAAAGCAAGAGCCGCGCCCCGGCCTAGTCCGGGCCTGCTGTGTCCACAGGACGGAGGCTCAGCCTGACCAGCTGGGGCTCCCCCTACCGGCACTCGCCGCCGTCCTGCTCCAGCTCCCCAAAACAGCTCATCTCGCTCTTCCCGCAGGTGGCTCTGGACCCGGGGACAGACTCGCGGAACCGGGAGGCCCTGACACGCCACGGCATGGAAGGTGAGCCCGCCTCGTGGCGTTGCCCTTCGCGAGGGAGCCTGGGCGCTTTGCCAATGCACTTTGCCTCACGATCCCCCCAAAACCGAGTGTCCAAAAGCATAATTCTCAAAATAAAAACAGACCCGGAGACAACCCCCAGGGGCTCCGGCGAGAGCCTGGGCAGAGCCGGCTCCAGGTCCTGGCACGCTGGGAAGCCCAGGCCCAGGCCGAGGGGACCGCGGGGCTCAGGGCCCCCGGAGGCACCCCAGTGGCCCGAGACCCTCGCCACCTCCCGCCCCCTCCCTCAGCGCGGCCGAGCCCTCCCCCGGGGCTCCCGGGACAGCAGGCGTGGGTGGTCGCGGTGCCCTGGGGGGCAGCGTCACAAGTGCGGGCGACGCAGGCGGGCCTGAAGGAGCGGCGGTGTCTTGACACAAATGAGTTGGGAAAAACCCAAAAGAAACCCGTGGAGCAGCCGCAGGTCCAGACGGCCCCGTGACTGGGGTGGAAGAACAGGAGTGACAGGCCGCCCGGCCCCTGCCCTGCCCCGCCCCGCAGCCCGGTGTCTTGTCCAGCCCCCAGCAAGCCCCGGCCCGGCCCTTCAGCCTCCTCCCCCCACCCGTCAGGACCCTGGTCATTGCGGAGTCAGCCTGGACGAGCCGTGGTCTCCTCTGCGTCCTGCTGTCCGCTCGTCAATGGCGCCAGTCGCTCTCCTGCGGCCTGAGCTCCCCTCATGCGTGACCTCCTGTGTTAACAGCGTCTGGGGCAGGTTGTGCTCTGGGGGGGGCGCGGATGTTGCCTCAGACGGCAGGACGCAAGGGCGTTTCACTGGAAAATAGCGGTTTTAAACTCGTATGTGTCAATCAACAGTAGCTTCAAACGTATGAAGCAAACCTCGAGAAAATGACAAGAGGTGGACAGTCCACCGCCACTGGGGCTGGTGACTGTGTTCCTCAGTAATTGCTGGTTGGGGTCAGGCTGCGGCTGTGCCCCGCGGGGGAGGCGGCCGCCGGCCCTGCGTGTTGAAGGCGCACAGGAGAGTGCCCGCCCCACCTGCAGGGAGGCCGCGCTTGCAGCAAAGCGGGATGCGTCCGAAGACGTCAGCGCGTCACGGGTGCTCCGGGTGGCACAGCTGGTGTCCTGCGTCCACAGGGCCACCAGCGGGCTAGAGGGCAGCCATCTCGGGGTCGCTTTTAGAAACCCAGTGGCGGGTGTGTCCTGGCTGGTTACCGCAAGCCGTATCCCTTCCTAGCACCGTCCAGTCTCTTCCAGGCCGGCGGTTCCAGGGACCTCGCTCTCGTCCTCACTCTGTCCTGCAGGGCTCGAGACCGCCAACGGGGAGCCGTGCCAGATGCCCTACAACAGCAGCAAGGTGATCCTGATGGTCTTGTACAGCTCCGTGTGCACGCTGGCGCTGCCAGCCAACTGCGTGACGGCGTGGCTGACGCTGCTGCAGGCGCTGCAGGGCAACGTGCTGGCCATCTACCTGTTCTGCCTGGCGCTGTGCGAGCTGCTGTACGCCAGCACCCTGCCGCTCTGGATCATGTACATCCGGGACAACCACCGCTGGGGCCTGGGCGACAGGGCCTGCAAGGTTACCGCCTACATCTTCTTCTGCAACATCTACATCAGCATCCTCTTCCTGTGCTGCATCTCCTGCGACCGCTTCGTGGCAGTGGTGTACCCGCTGCAGAGCCGCGCACGCCGCCACCCGAAGGTGGCCATCCTCGTCTCTGCCGGGGTCTTCGTCTCGGTCGGTGCCGTTTTCTCGCCGGTGTTCAAGGTCACAACGAACACGACCTGCTTCGAGCCGGTGCTGGTCAACGAAACGACCGCCATCTACTACTACTCGCGCTTCACCTGCGGCTTCGTTGTGCCGCTGTTCATCATCGCCTACGCCAACTGGCAGGTCTTCAAGAGCATCAGGCAGTGCATGGGCTTGAGCGCCGCCCAGAAGGCCCGGATAAAGCGCCTGCTCACGGCCGTCGTGGCCATCTTCCTGGCCTGCTTCACGCCCTACCACCTGGTGCTGCTGATCAGGGCGGCCGCCTTCTCCAGCCACAAGGGCAACACGACTGCCCTGTGCCTGCTGGAGCGTGACTTCTTCTACACACCCTCCGTGGTCTTCCTGTGCCTGTGCACGGTCCACAGTGTGGCCGACCCCATCATCTACTTGCTGGCCATGGACCTCAGGCTGCGGGAGGACCTCAGACACCTCAGCTGGAGCCACTGGCACATCAGGGCTGACTCCACCTGGCTCGCGGCTTCCAGGGACTCAGAGGAACCGCGGTTGCCCACGCTGCCCACCAACAGTGGCACCTTCCCCACGGCCGTGCACCCCCCGGGGGCCCAGCAGGGCATGGGGCCCTCCCTGAGCGCCCTGCACGAGGAGCCCTGATGAGCCACACCCCTGGGCCCGGGAGCGTGTGTGTGGCTGCAGGACCTGGGGGAGCCCGGCCGGGAGGGGCGCCCTGGGCCAAGCAGGTCTGCAGGTGCCCTCTGCCCACGAGGCCCCACGCCCACGCTGGATTTGCTGAGGAGCCCGGACCACAGCTTGTTCCTCCAGCACGGCCTGGACTGGGCAGCCCCTCGGCCTTCAGCCCTCGCCGAGGAGGACAGAGACCACCCTGGGCGGCCTGGTGGCCGAGGGGAAGGGCCCCCAGAGACCCTCGACCCTGTGAAGGCAGCTCCGGGCCGCTCCCCACCCCCTCCCCCAGGGCCAGAGACACCTCCCTGAGCAGGTGGGTGGGGAGCTGACCCTGCACCCCAGTGCTTCCCTGGCCCTCCCAGGCCGTGGGGCCCCGGGGAGCCCCCTTGGCGTGTGCGCCTTGCCCCGCCGCGCTGAACGACGTGCTCCCTTCTGCAGGGTTTTGCTCAGCGAGCCGCTGAGAAGGCGCGCGCGGGACAAGCTCATGAGTAAGAAATAAAAGCACAGACGCAGGCGCCAGCCCCACCTTCCCTCCCGGAGAGAGGCTTTGCCTTTCCCGGCGTCCCCGCCACGTCCTGGAGGGCCCGGCCGGGGTGAGCCTTCTCGCCGGAACGGTGTCCTGGGTGGGGAAGTGAAGGGCAGGGGTTCTGGGGACAGTGTGGGGCTTTCGGGGGGCAGGGGGGACGCTTGATGTTTCCCCTGGCAGAGGGCTGCCGAGGGGCCGGGGCCCGGCCAGCACGAGGGACACCAGGGATGCTGCCCGGGGCTGGCAGGGAGGGGGTGCGGGTGCCTGGGGCCGGTGCCCCCTCCCCACTCTTCTCCCCGACGGCCAGTGTGGCCTCAGCACCGCGGCCCCCGCACCGGGCCCACCCGGCCTGGGCGTCTGGTTCCGCCGCTGGTGGGAGGGGCAGCCCTGCAGGGGCCCGTGCCTGCCCCTGCGCAGGACCCGCTGCCCCGCGGCGCCCCAGCTGTCGGGGCCACCCAGCATCTTCCCCCGGCAGCACGCTGGGCCTGGCGGACAGGAGGGCCCAGGCCTGTCCCCGCAGCGGGGACGGGCGGCCGCAGCGCCGGGAAACCTGGGGCAGGGACAGCGGCGGCATCAGGGCGCGGGGCCAGGGAGCCCCTCGGGGGTGGGGTGCTGGGGGCAGGCCGCAGGGCGGGGAGGGGCGCCGCCCTCGCCCCGCGCTAAGGGCCGAGGCAGGACAGGCAGGGGCGCGGGGGGCGCGGGGGGCGCCCGCGGGGCACACCGGGCTCAGCCGTCCGGCCGACGCCCAGCCCGCGGGCCCGCGCTCCCGCCTGGGCGCCCAGCGCACCTCAGGCGCTCGCGGCGGCCGCCTGGGCAGGGCCGGCTTCTGAGGCGGGCGGTGCGGTCGGGGCAGGAGGCGGATGGGACGCGGCGGCCGCCCCCGCCCGCCCGAGAGCCGCCAGGAGCCCGAGAGGCCCGACGCCAGCACCGAGGGCCGCGGGGCGCGGCGCCGAGCGGGCCTGAGGCCGAGCCAGCACGGGCGGGCCCCCAGCATGCCGGGCCGCGGGCTCCAGGGCCGGCCTCCCGGTGTCTCCCAGCAGGAGGCCCGAGCCCGCGAGCCCGCGCGGCCGCTGCCCCGGGAGCCTCGGCGATGCCGCCGGCCGGCAGGGACGCCCGCGCCCCGGGCCGTGTCGGGACACCCGCGGGCGCCGCCGGCAGCAGCCGCGCTGTGCGCCCCGCCGGCTGCGGGCCCGTGGGGCCGAGACAGGACGGAGGCCCGGGCCCCAGGGCTGCTGCTTTCTTCGTGGGGGCCAGGAGCAGGGTCCCCCCACCCCGCCCCCGGGGCTTATATCCCCTCTCAGGTGCCCCCCCACGTTGGCTTGATTGGACCGCGTTTCAATCCTGCGGCTGATTGGACCATTGAGCACCTATCAGCTCACAGCTCGCAGAGGATTGGTCCGTTCCACGATGCCGGAAGTGCGCGGCTACATAAAGGGGCTCTGAGGAGAAACTGCCGCAACCGCCGGGCGGCGGACACGGGGAGGCCGGCCCTGCCGAGGCCCCGCTCGGGCGACGACGCTTGCGGCGGCCGGTGAGTAACTGGGGCAGCTCCCGGGCGCCGACCGGTGAGTCGGGCCGCAGTGGCGGCCCCGGAGGCGGCTGGCTCCACCCGCAGGCCCCGCCGGCCGAGCGCCCGCCCCAGGGCCCCCGCGGCGCCTGCGGGGAAGGCCGAGCTCGGGCGCCGGGCAGGCCTGGGGCGGGAGGAGGAAACGAAGCCGCGGGGAGGCCGCGCGAGGCCACGGCCGGGAGGGTCGACGCCGGGGACAGAGCCGCCGGCGGCGGCCAGGCCCAGCACCCTGGGGCGCGCCTGCAGGCCGGGCGGCAGAGGGCCCGCGCGGCCACACCGGGCGGCGGCGGCCTCACCCGGGCAGCGTAGGGGCGGTCGCCGCTGGCCCCCAGGAGCGCTGGGCAGCACTGGCCAGTGTGGCGGCCTCCCCTGGTCCCCAGGGGCGGCGTCTGGACACCCAGTGGCCGCAGCTCCCGGGGGTCGCTGGGCGGCACCAGCAGCAGCTCTTCGGGGCGCCAGGCCCGGCTGGGCTCCTCTCAGGCAACGCCAGAGACCCCGGCCGGGGCTGTGGCCAAGTCCCCCGGCGCCTCCCCTCCCCCGGGGCGCGGCTGGACGCCGCGCGCGGCTTTTCTCGGCGGGCGGCATCTGCCTCAACGCCCGCCTGGTCTGGCTTATATCCGCTCGCAGGGTGTCCCGCTCACAAGCCTGATTGGACCATTTTTCAATCCTGGGGCTGATTGGACCAGTTGCCCATCAGCCCACAGCCCCTGATTGGTCCCTTCCACAATCCCGGAAGTGCACTGTTATATAAAAGGACTCTGAGGCGCAACTGCCACAACCAAGGGTGAAAACGCCCCTGCTCCCGCCGCTGCGAACCCGTCGCAGAAAGTCAGAGCAGGAGCCAAGAGGGGCCGCTCCCCGCCTTCCGCGGGCCCGCGCGCCTCCGGCGGCGCCTCCGGAAAGAGCTGGTCGGCCCGTGGCGGTGAGTCTGGAAGTGCAAGAAGGGGCCGGGGTGACCGAGCTTCCCCGGGGGCGGGGGGGTGTGGAACGGCGGGCCCGAGCCCAGGCGCCACCCCAGGGCGCTGACCACCCCTGCCTGGCCCTCCGCTGCCCGCCTGGGCTCCGCTGCCCTTCCCATAGGCCTGCCGTCGCCGACCGGGACGCCTGCCCGACCCGATCCTTCCCGGCGCGCCTGCGGGTCCCTGGGCGTGTCCTCCGTGCTGCTGCTTTTGGGGTTCGGCAGTAACTTTCGTTCACTCCCTCTTGGGGTGACTCCCATGGTCAGTACACAGTGACCTTGCTCAATCTGGGGCTTCAGATGGACCGAGCTGTGGCCCCTGCAGTTCTTTTTTTTTCTTTTTTTTTTTAAGATTTATTTATACAAGAACAGGGTGCAGGCCGGAGCCGCGGGGGTGCCTCTCCCCAGAGGCAGAGTGGGGAGCAGAACAGGCGGATCCACTGAAACCCACTGCTGCGCCCTGTGGCATCTCCCTGGCCGGGATCGAACCCGCGCTGCAGAGGCTGCGGACGCTCCACACGCTGCCGCAACCCGCTGCGCCTCCCGGGAGGCCCCCCTGGGATTAAGCCCGAGCTGGAGCCCTCAGTGTGGGGTTAGTGCTGGGGCTTTTCTGCGAACTGGGGGTGAAAGCCTCTGGAGGGCGCCGGCCCTGGGAGGGGCCGTGGCAGGAGCGCGCGTCCCCGGAGAGGGGCCGCCAGGGAAACCGGCGGGGGCGCACCTTGGCCTTGGGGAGCCGCTGTAGGGAAGCAGAAACCTGCCCCCCAAGTAGAACTTTTCTGCGGAAAGCGTGATCTCGGAGGCCGCGTGGCGTCTGCTCGGCGCAGCGAGGGCTCCCGCCGCCTCCGGCCCCAGCGGCCACCCTCAGGCCGGCTCCTGCGAGGCTGGCCGGGGTGCCGCCTCCTTGCCCGCCTCGCGCGCCCACGGGCCTCCGGAGCGCGAGCAGCCCCGGGGTCCCGGCTGCCGCTGTGCCTGCGCGCCGCCTCCGCGCGCTGCCCGTCCACTTGCCCGGCCTCTGGCCCGAGGCCGCGGCCTCCTCGCGCCTGACCCAGGGGGACGCGTTCGGGTTCCGCCTTCGCCATCCCCCGGGGCAGCGCCGACGAGCCGCGTCCAGCGCGGCAGGGGCCGTGGGCCGCTGTGGGGCGGCTCGGGCACGGGAGGCCGGCGCAGCCCCTGGTAGGCAGGCGGAGGGGCGGGCCGGCGGGGCCCGCCGGTGGAGCAGTTGCTGGGCCGCGGGGCAGAGGGTCCCCCGGGGAAGCCAGGGGGCACGTGGGCGCGGACAGTGGGCGAGAGGACGGGTGCCCCCGCTCGGCGAGCCCCCCACGCCCCCTCCGCGCCCCCCGGGCCGAGGGAGCCCCCTGGCGCGGCGCAGGGGTGGGCCCGCAGAGGAGGCCGGGTGCCCGCGAGAGACCGCGCCGGCCTGGCCGCTGCGCTCGTGGACGTCGCTGCTGCCCCTCTGGAGCCCGCGAGCCTCGTCTCCCCGCCCGCCCTCCCGGGGTAGGCGGGTCGCGGCTCGCCCGGCGCTGCCTGCTGGCGGGTGGCGGGAGCCCGGAGGCGCCGCAGAGGCCGCGCCCGGGGACCGCGGGGTCGGCGCCTCTCCGGCGGCTTCTCCGCGGGCCCGGCCCGGGGCTCTCCGACCGCGCGGTCGTCTGGAGCCCTGACGGCCGGGCGGGTCTCCACGGCCGCCCCGCCCCCCGCCGCCCTGGCGGCCCCGCCCGCCGCGGCCTGGCCGGCCTCCGTCCGCGGGCGGCGCTCTCCCGCCCTCGCTGGGCGCTGCCCGCCCGGGGGCCGCCGCCCGGGACCTGGCGCTCGGCGCGGGCCTTCCCGGGCCTCCCCTCCCGGACAGCGGGCGGCCCTCGGCCCCGCCCCCGCCCCGCCCCGCCGGCCCCGCCCCGCCCCCGCCGGCCCTCGGCCCCGCCCCGCCGGCCCCGCCCCCGCCAGCCCCGCGGTCGTCGCGGGCTCCCCGCCCGCCCCTGCGGCCGCCGCCGCCACGCGTGCCCCTGCGCGCCGGGCCGTCCCCACCCGGCCGGGGTGCGCGGGCCGCAGGCGCGCGAAACGGCGCCGGGACGCTCTTTGAGACTCTCCGATGAAAACGGATCATCTTCACCTCTCGCCCGCCCCGCCCGCGGCCCGGCCCCGCCACGGCCCCGCCCCGCCCACTACTCGGCCCGGGCCCGCCCACGGCCTGGCCCCGCCCACGGCCCGGCTCCGGGCGGCTGGCGCAGGCGCGCTGGGGCCGCGCGGGGAGCCCTGGGAGCTGGGCGAGCGCGTCTCCAACGGCCCGCGCGGCGGCGCGGGAACCGCGCAGAGGCCCCGCCCCCGGTTTGAATCGGAGGCCCCGCCCCCCGCGCTCGGCCAACCCGCGGCGGCGCCCGGAGACCCTTTGTGGGCGCCCGGAGGCCCCGCCCGCCCGCGGCCCCTCCCACGGCGGCGGCGCGGGCGGCCAGGTGGGCCCGGGGGCGGCGGCCAGGTGAGCGGCGCCCGCGGCCGGCGGGGGGTTGTGGGCGCGGGCCGGGGCGGGGGGCCGGGCTGGGGGGGCGGCCGGGGGACCCCCGCTCTGCGGCCCGGGCCGGGGTCCCGCCGCCGCTCCCGCGCGCGGGGAAACGCTTCCTGCCGCCCCCCGCGTGGCGAGGCCGCTTCTCGGGGCGTCGGGTCTCCCGAGCCTGTGGCTAGAACAGGTCCGCGCAGCCGCCCCGGGCGGCCCTCGGCGGGGAGCCCCGGCCGGCCCCCGCCCCCGCCCCCGCGCCCGCGCCCGCGCCCGGCTGTCCGGGCCCGGGCGGGCGTCGCCCTCCCCACCTCTGCTCCTCGCCGCGCGGGGCGCGCTGCCGGGCCGCTGGGGTCGCGGGGCCGCCTCGCAAGACCGGCGCCGGCAGGACACCGCCTGCAGCCCTGGCTTGGGGCGCCCGGCGCCGCAGCAGCTGCCCCCAGCCATGGGGCGCGCCGCCGTCCCTGTGTCCTGGTTTGAATTGCTTTGAGGAGCGCGAAGTCCCTCTCGCTGCGCCTTCCCTGCCCGCTCGGTGGCCTGCTTCTCCGTCGGCTTGGCGGGGAGCAGGTGCCCACCTGGGCACCGAAGCTGGCGTGCCGTCTGGCCCAGCGCCCTGGCCAGTGGAGGCTGACATCAGGGTAGGCGTGGGCAAGAGGGGGAGCCGGCCGGTGCAGGTGTGGGCGAGTGGCAGACACAAGCTGCCAGGGACCCCTGAGCTGGACGTTCCTGAAGCCGACTGTCCCCAATAGGACCAGCAGGGAAGCGTGCTGTGGGACAGTTTCCCGGGAGAGGCCTCCTGCCTCCCTCTCCTGGCGCCAGGCACCGGGAGGGCGGTGCACCCGGGATGGCGCCAGGACGGCGGGGCAGAGGGAAGGCCCTTTCAAGCCCGCAGGAGCCAGGCACCCCTGCGTGTGCGGACGGGGCCTGCACCTTCCTACAGAGGCTGCTCCCGCGCTCAGCCTCCCTCCCTTTACAACCAAAGTTGAGAAGAAAGCTCGGCCAGCCGTGGCCTTTTTCTAGACAGCGCGGTTGGTCTGGGGACCGGGTGGGCTGCAGCCTGCTTCGGGCAGTGGGGGCGGGCAGTGGCTGCCCCTCAGCTGCAGCTCGGGCCTGCTGGCCGTGGCCACTCACTGGGGCCTGGTGCAGCGGGCCCAGGGTGGCCGCCGGCAAGGTGCTGGGGTGCTTGGCAGTGGTCTCACGTGGTGGTCAGGTCTGGGCAGTGCCGGGTCTGTGCTGGTCCCACTGTCCAGACCGGGGACTGCTGGGACCAGGCGGTACCTGCACTGCCTTGGCCCCCCAAGTTGGCGCTGTGCCAAGTAGGCATCAGAGGGTCGGCCTGGGTGTGGGATGGACCCCTGTCCTCTGTGGACAGCAGGGCCCCAAGACCCAAAAACTTATTGAGAGCCCATCTGGGGCCCCGCTAGGCCTGTGCTGGGGGTCACGGGCTGCAGGGCACCGCCTCAGACCAGGCCTCCTAATGGGTCTGTGTCCCCCTCTGCTCAGCGGCCCTCAGGGCCACTTCGGGACCACAGTCTGTGTGGACTTGCCCACGCCCGGTGGTGCCGCCATGGCGTCCGCTGGAGCAAGGTGAGCAGTGGGACTGGGCCCCCAGGAGGCCCGCAGTGCCCGGCTCGGTTGCCCTGGCCTCGGGTTTGTTTACAAGCGGAGACGGTGCCGTGAAGGCGCAGAGCACTCCGGGGCTGAGACCCTGGCGGGCGCGTGTGCTCTCCCTCCCCCGGGGGTCTCCTGCGGGCCTTGCCGGAGGGCGCCCGCCACCTGGCAGGCCTCTGGACTGAGGCTGTGCTGGCACGTGGGACGGTGCCCCGGCTGGGATGGGAGGTGCCCCGGGAATGCCGTGGGGACCGGCTGTATGGGGCAGGGGTCAGCCCGGTGCGGGTGAGGCTAGGCTTGGTCCCTCCCCTCCATCACCCGCGCTGAGCCTGGCGGGGCGACGGGGGCCAAGTGCCTGGGGCCCGGCGGGACCTCCGTCGCCTGGCTGTCGGCTACTCCCATCGAGCCAACAGTGGGCGGAGGGAGGTGGCATGGGGGTGTCCGCCGGGCCGGGCACTAACGGCGTCTTCCTGGGTTCCAGCGACGCGATGCTGGCACGAGGGCTGAAGAGGAAGTACCGGGACCGCGAGGGCGAGGCGGGAGGCGCCCTGGCCTATGGCCTGCAACGGCAGTCGCTCCTGGACATGTCTCTGGTCAAGCTTCAGCTGTGCCACATGCTGGCGGAGCCGAGTCTGTGCCGCTCCGTTCTCATCGCCAACACGGTCCGGCAGATTCGGGAGGAGATGGCCCGCGACGGCATGGGGTGGCCGGGGGCTCCCCCCAGCACCGGTCGAGCGCTCCCCGACCGCCTGTTGTCCACAGACCTCCTGTGTCGCCCGGGGCGGGAAGGACCCGGCCACGAGCAGGACCTGGCTCCGAGGGACCTGCCCAGCAGCCTCCAGGAGGTGGACAGCCCTCGAGAAAGCAGAGGAAGCTTCCAGAAGTCGCTGGACCAGATATTGGAAACCCTGGGGAGTAAAAGCCCCAGCTCAGTGGGGGAGCTGTTCTCAGACGTGGACGCTGCCTACTATGGCCTGGACGCCGTGCTGACGGGGGTGGCCGGCGGCACCGCGGGGCTCGGTGAAGGGCTGGAGGCCTTCGCCGCTGTCACCCCCTCGCCTCCCGGCTGCGGCTGCCAGCCGGACCTGGGGGAGCTGGAGCACGTGGCTGGCGTCCTGGTGGGGGCCTGAGCCTCCAGCTCCCGCCGGGCGCCCCACTGGCTTGGCACCCGCGTGTCCCGCGTCGTGTCCCCGGGTCCACGTCGGACGCTGGTGTGCTGGGGCCCTGCTATGTCTCAGCGATATTTTTTAAATGTTTTGTACTCGGGTCTCTAGAGTCTGAGCTGTCCTCGCGGACGGTCTGCGCCACGGTGGCTGCCAGCGCCCGCTCGGCCTGTGGCTCTTCTGGCTCCAGGTCTGGCGTGGTCTCCGAGGGCCACTGTGCGCTGGGGGGCCTCCCCCGGGCACCCACGACGTCACCCGCTTTGCACGACGTCACCCGCTTTGTTAAACTGTCCCTGAAGGGCGGGGCGTGTGGTCCTCGTCTCCGTCACAGCCCCCACACTGCCCTCCGAGGGGACCTCTCCCGTGGACGTGGCTCACGCACCCCAGGCCGCCTCCATGGGAGCCGGGGTGCACAGGCTCTGCCAGGCGGGTCGGGGCGGGCGCCCGGGGCTCCCCACCCCAAGCACATGCTGCGCCAGGCTGCCCACCTTGATTTGGGGGCCCCTTGGCAGGTGGGGGCCTGAAGTCCCAGGCAGAACAAGGCTGGGTCTCAGCTGAGCTCCTGAGGGGACTGCGGCTGCTGGCTGGTGTCCGGCCCCAGGCCCCCAGGCCGGTGTGCTCACGTCACAGGTAGACCGGGCCCCACAGGCACCCCCAGGGTCTGGGTCTGGACGGAGGCAGAGGCTTCTGAGCGGCTGCCGAGTCCTGCCTCTCCCTCCAGGAAGCCCCCCGGGGCCTCTGCGGCTGCCGGCAGCCCATAGCCGGCCCCGCCCCTGGGGAGCCCCTGGGGAACAGAGCAGCGGTAGGGGTTCCTGCCTTGGGGCTTCTGAAGTGGCAGTGAGCCGACCTGCCTGGAGGGGGCAGCAGAGCTGGACCAGTGGCCAGAGACACGCTGGACTTGCCCTCCGTTCTCCGCTTCAGCATTTCAGCTTCTTGTGCAGTCTGCTCGGCCTGAGCTCTGCTGGCCGGCCGGGAGGCTGTGGGCCCGCCTGCCTTCCCTCCCCCGTCGGGACGTTTCTCTTGATGTGGCTTTCAGTCCTGACTGGGCCTCTGCTGCCCGCGCTCTGGTGGGGCCCGTGCTGTGTGCTGGGCGGGCTGCCTGGCTGCCGCCGCCACCGAGCCTGTGGACGCCCACCCAGGGCCGCCAGCCCTCAGCTGCCTGCAGGCCCCTGCTGGGGGTTAGGATGGGGTTTCCTTGCAGCCCCCGTCCGGGCCCACATGGTCTCCAGGCCTCCCCATGCCTGGGTAGGGAAGCCCGGATCAGAACTGGGGCTCTGCCAGCCAGGGGGCTTCTCAGCCGCTGCCACCTCCTGGGCCGCTCTGAGGGGCCCTTAGGACCGCAGGGAGCCCCAGGGTCCTCGCAGGGGCACCCCACTGAGGGCCCCAAAGCTCCACACAGCAGTCTTCCAGGCCTGGAGCCAACCTGGAAACGTGCTGGCCCCCATCAGGGTGCAGCGTCCTGTGCCTTCTGACAAGCGTGGAGCCCCGGGCCTGCGGACCCCCTTCTTTCTCAGACTGTGGGGAGCCTCCCACTTCCCTGGGGGGGCCTTGGGGGAGAGGCTGTCTGAGGTTAGGCCCTGCTGCCACCAGGTGTCCCTGACAGCCAAAGGGACAGAAAGGGCTGCTCGGCCACTAGACCGGTCGCCCCCACCATGACCGGAAGATGGGCTCTAGGAATGCCCAGGGGTGGTTCCTGGGCCAGCTGGCCAGCTGGGACACAGCCTCCTGGGAGCCCTCTGGGCGCCTCTGTGCTCACCGGGTTCGGGGCCGTGCATGGGGATATGCAGGGAGCCCTGGCATGGCCCCTCTGACCCAATGCCACCTCACCGCGGAGCCCCCACACAGGAGCTAGACGGGCGCAGGAGGGTGAGGCCCAGGCCCCAAGGCCAAAGTGAGGTGTGTTGCTGGGTGGAACTGGCTCCCCTGGCCCGGCTGGGCTGGGGTGTGGACCGGGGCCAGGCCTCTGTGCCGAGGGCGCCACCTGCAGGCCGCCTGGGCCCCCCAGGGGCTGCGCTGCCCGAGTGCTGGACTGGCCCATCCTGCTGCAGTTACGGCTCTTGAGCTGGGGAGAGGGTCCCGGCTTCTGCTGTCGGCCTGGTGTGGTTTTGGGGGTCCTTAAGGGGGGGCCACGAGCCAGGTATGGCGTTGTCTCTGGACACAGACAAAGTAAGGAAAGCATCTCCCGAAACCCCCAGAGGCAGGCGCCCCTGCCCAGGGCTGCGGGGACTGGCACATGGGGGTGGGGGGCAGCCAGGGCCAGCAGCGGCATGCTGGACAGGACGGGCAGCTGCCGAGGGCTGGCCTCCAGGTGGGCAGGGCAGGCTGCACACAGGGAGGTTCACCTGCTGGGCAGACTGACCAGGGGGGCCAGTCCCTGTTGAAGCGGGGTGTGTGGCGCCGCCAGCCACAGCCCTCCAGGAGCTGCAGAGGGCTGGGTCCAGTGTGGTCAGGAGACAGCGCCCGCTGCCTACCCAGCCGCCTCTTGGGCCACCGTGCCCAGCCCCATCCATACAGGGCTGGGTGCTGCTCCCCTGGCCTCCACCCTGCACAGAGCAGCCTGGCACCCCCACACGTCTGAAGAGTGGCAGGGAGGGCCCCGGCCCCAAGAGGCACCCAGGTCTTCTGCTTCTCTGGGGAGAGCACCAGCCCCTGGGCCTGGCTCAGGTTCTGCTGGGGGAGAGTAGTCCTGGGGTCTCCCCCCCTCCATCTCCATGCAAAGGGCTAGGGGATGGAGGGCAGTGGCAGCCGAGGAGCCATGGCGACCCCCTTTTTCATGCCCTCTGGCAGGGAGCCTGATCCTTGGGGGCTGGGCTTCCCCACTTGCTGGAAAGGCTAGGGGAGGTCTGGGCCTGCAGTTTTGGGCCCATTACTGCCTGCACCCTGAACCCCAGTACCCAGCTTCCAGCTCAGGGAGACTGCCAGCAAGCTTGAGACCCCTGAGTATGGAGGGGCCAGGGCTGAGGGCCATCCAGGGAGGCGTCCCAGCCTGTGTGTGCCACCTGGACTCCACTAGAGAGACGGGCAGGCGCGCATGGGCTCCCCAGCCCCTGGACACCTCCACTCCCTCCCCCGGGGCCTGGGGGCCAGGTTGGGCTCAGGAAGGATTAGGCTGGAAGGCAGGGCTGCCGGCTGGCCCCAGAGGTGAAGTCAGGAGCCGGCTCTCTGGGGCCAGCCCCCCAGTTACGACTGCAGGGTGAGCTGCAGAGCTCTCCACAGACATCAGACACTCAGGCTCACCCCTATCTACAGGGGGGCTTCCGGGAGGTGGGGGCAGTGGGCAGGGTCCTCGACTGCCCTGACAGCCCCCATCGGCTCCGGCAGGGCGGCAGGGGGCTGCTGCGGACGGCGCAAGACCCCAGTGGGACAGCGTCCGCCCACCCAGACCTCCCCGCAGGGCCAGGGGCGGTGGTGGCGGGAAGCATTCCCCCAGCCTCCCCGCCCTAGCCACCAGGGACCCCACCTGCACAGGGGCGGCCAGGAGAGCCCCTGCCCTGGACCCCTCCTGCTCCTCCCCACGCCCCTGGACCCCGCCGCTCTGCGTGGGGGGGGCGAGGGGGGGCAATCGGGCTCTTTGCCGCCGGGGGTCTACACCGCCTCACCAAGGTCGCCCACTCGGCGGGGTGGGGCACAGCTGGGTCTGTGTCAGAGCCCCCCACAGGGAGGGGGCGCGGCGGCCGCGCCCCGGGGTGCCCCCAGCACAGGCTGCCCGCTGCTGCGCGGGGCCCTTCCGGGCAGTGGCGAGCGCCGGGCTGACCTGCGCTTCCCGGAGGCTGCGTCACCCCGCTGTGCGGGCGGGGGGGCGGGGGGGCGCGGCGCCTGCAGGTCCCGGGGGCGCCGCGTCCGCGTCCGCGTCCGCGTGTGCCCGAGTGTGCGTGCGCGCCTGGGCCGGGCCGCCGGGCAGGGCGCCCGTGTGTGGTGGCGTGTGCGCGTGCCGCAGCCCGGGGAACGACGCTCCCGGGCGCGCGTGCCCCTGGGTCTTGGGGTTCCGGGTAGCAGGCCCCCCGCGCCTCCGCGTCCACGCCGGCTTGGCTCCCTGGGGCGCCACTGTCTCCCCGCGGCGGCCCCACCCCGCCCAGCCAGGCGCCCGGGGTCCGCGCCGCCATCCCGGGTCCTTCCTTGCTCCCCGCCAGTCGGGCCGCGGGCCCGGAGCCCGGCAGAGCGGGGTCTCCCCGGCGCGCCGCGCTGGCTGTGCCCGCAGCCCCGCTGCGGAGGTGGAGGCGGGCGCGCGGGTCGAGCTGGGGACCCCGGGAGGCCCCTTATTGGGGGGCCCAAAGTCTGCTCTTTGGACCCAGAAAGGCCAACTGGAGGCACGGACGGGGCGAGGCCAAGCTTGGGGCCTGGGGTTGGGGGTCGCGCCGAGGTGTGAGGCGGGGGCGGGGCCGGCGGGGCGGGGCGGGGTGACCAGGGGCGGGGCCGGCGGGGCGGGGTGACCGGGGGTGGGGCCTGCGGGGCGGGGTGACCGGGGCCGGTGGGGAGGGGCGGGGCGGGGCGGGTGACCAGGGGCGAGGCCGGCGGGGCGCGGCGGGGCCTGTGGGGCGGGGCGGTTGGCCCGGGGCGGGGCCTGAGGGGCGGGGCCTGGGGCCGGCGGGGCGGGGCCTGGGGGCTGGCGGGGCCTGCGGAGCGGGGTGACCGGGGCGGGGCGGGGCCTGCGGGGCGGGGCGGGGTGACCGGGGCAGGGCGGGGCCTGAGGGGCGGGGAGGGGCCTGAGGGGCGGGGTGACCGGGGCGGGGCCTGCGGGGCGGGGCGGGGCGGGGCCTGCGGGCGCGGCCAATGGGCTGACTGAGGCCGCAGCGCCGCGCGGCGACCGCAGAGGCGGGGCGGGCCCCGGCGGGTCGGGGTGCGGACGCCCCGCAGTCCGAGCCCGGCCGCCGGCGGCAGCGGAGGGGGAGCGCGCGCCCGCGGGGCCGCCGGGCCGGGACGCCGGGACGCGACGCGGCCGCCGCGATGTGCGACTGTTTCCACGTGGTGCTGCCCGCCTGGGCCGGAGCCCCCGGCAGCGGTGCGCTCCCCGCCTGCAGCCCTCCCTCGCCTCGGGGGCCGGGGGGCCGCGGGGGGCCGGGGCCGCGCTCGGGGCGCCTCGGCTGCTGAGGGTCTGCCGCCTCCCTCCCGCCTCCCTCCCCACGCTCGCCTGCACCTGTCCCCGCCACCCGCTCCTGTCCCCGCCTCGCAGGTCGCTCCCGCCCGTCCCCCTTGTCACCGCCTCCTGCTTTGGGACGCGGGGCTTGTCTTGGCCCTGGAGGCGGCCACCGGGGAGGTCAGCACGTGTGGCTGGACCCTGGGGGCCTGCCGCATGGCCTGGCCTCCGACCTGCTTGGGGGCCAGTGGCTGACTGGACCAGGAGGTAGGGCTATTGGCCTTGGCGGGAGACTGCCCGGCTGGGCTGGGCTGAGCCCATGGCATGGCCGGCCTCTGGCTTGGTGCTGGCTGGGGCGGGGCTGGACCTCAGGTCTCTGGCTTGATCAGGAACTGGACTGGGGTCAGACCTCAGGCCCAGGAGGGCAAGGTGGGTGTTGTCCGTGGGTGGGACCCCAGGGGCATCAGTGCCCCTCCCTCAGCTCTGACCATAGGTGGCAGCAGGCCCTCTCCGGCGCCCCTCCCTGCGGTGAGCCTGGGGACTGTCTCAGCCTGGGGGAGGGTGGGTGGGGAGGGGCAGACTTTGCAGCAGGTCAGTAATGCCGCAGCCTGGCCACACCCTGGACACCAGGCCAGCTGCCCGCAGGGGGCGGGGCCTTGCTGCATTGGCGCGGCTGGACCCTACTCCTTGGGGAGGAGTGATCGATGGTGAGGGGCCACCCTGATGCAGCAGGTTGAGTGGCCAGGCCTGGGCACGCCCCTGCCTCAGCAGGAGCCCCCAGGCCCTCCTGTGGCCCGTTTGTCCATCCAGCGCCAAGACCGAGGCCAAAGGTGTGGTGTGAAGGCCCCACTGCCCAGTGGCCGCCCTCACCCAGTTGGGAGCCCAGGCGCCCTGCCCTGCCCTGGGCAGCAGGTGGGAGAATGGTGGCCGCACGTGTCGGGGGCCCAGCCCTTCCTCACCGGGGCCAGCCCACATCCCATCTGCCGCACCACAGGGCCAAAGTGGGGCCGCAGGACTTGGGGCGCCTTACTCTGCCTCCAGCTCCATGAGTGACGCCTTCCTGGCTCAGTGCCACCCACCCAGACTCCCCAACTGCAGGGCCCAGGGCCTTCTCACCCTGCCTGCAGAGCCCACGCCCACCCCCACCCCGACCCCCCCCCCCCCCGCCCAACTTCTGGGGCTGCTTCCAGCCCTGGGGCCACCAGCTGCACTCAGGAATCAGGCTCCAGGGCTCCTGGGCTTGCGTGGGAGGCCTGCTGGATCAGAGCCTCTGGGGTTCTGACACAGGCTCCAAACCCCACTGGCAGACAGGGGCGCCCCAGTGCCCGGTCCTAGCTCTCCAGCCTGTCCCCTCCGAGCAGACCCGGGGTGGGCAGACCCCCACCCAGTCCAAACCCATCCTCCGGCGCCAGCCTCCTGACAGCCCCTCGGTGGCCCCAGCAGGGAGCCCGCCCCCCACAGCTGTCTGGAAACAGACCCCCGCCACCAGCCTCCCTGCACCGGGCCCCACGCCTCAGGCGCGACCCAGCGAGGGACGGGAGCTCGACGAGCACTCCCCCCAAGCTGGACCAACAGGTTCGCTGGACGGGCCGCAGCTCCCCCCACCCGGCCAGCCGCAGACAGTAGATCCCTTCCCAGAGCCACACGGGCCCGCGGTTGGGCTGTGGGGTGCACTCCACCTTCGCCGCTACGAGCCCCCGGCTTGACCAGAGCGCCCCACCCCTTCCCCGATGCCCCCCAGATCCAGGGAGATCCCAGGTGTGGAGCACACCATGAAGGGAGTTTGGGGCTCCTCAGTGGGGGCCCAGGCCCCTTTCCCAACGGGACGGGGTGGCGCCCCTTCTGTGAGCTTGGGGCAGCATGGGGCCGTGGACCGGGCTGACATCCGGCGGCAGGAGCACAGCTGCCCTGCGGTCGGGCGCCGCCCGGCCGGGGCCTGCACACAGCAGACCTGGGAGCCGCCGCTGTGCTGCCCGGGGTCTCCCAGGCTCCCAGGCGGCTCCTCAGGCCCAGCCCCGCGGCATGCAAGGGGCAGTCGGGCTCCTGGGCCTGGTGCCCCAAGCGCTTTCCTGGGGCCGATTCGCAGGCCGTGGCCAGTATCCTGCTTCCTTTCCTGCTAGACAGATGGGCCCTGCCCCACCGGCCCCGGGCGGGCAGGGGCGGGCGGAGTGCATGGGGGGCTGTGCCAAGCCCGTGGCTGGGCCCTCAGGCTTGGGGCTCGTGGGGCTGTGCTGGGCAGCGATGCCCGTGCAGCGTCTCCACCTCAGTCCGGCAGGTTGCCGGACTCCTCTTCCAGGAAGCCCCTGGATGGGGGCCCACTCTGACTTCTCAGACTGGGTATTTCAGGGGGACCCTGGGTTGGCTTGCCTAGGGGTGGGGCACCGGGCAGGAGGACCCCCGGCCGTTGGGGGACACCGGCTACTGGGGCCCTGTCCCCCACTGCAGGAGTGAGAAGCCACGCTCTCCCCAGCTGGGTCCTCTGCCAGGGTGGGGGCAGGAGCAGGCCGACCCGGACGTGGGGTATCTGTCCACCCTCTGTCTGTCCCGGGCCCGAGACGTGGGAGGCCGTGCATCCACAGAGCGGGGGCCACCACCATCCACTCAGCGGGGACAGGGCAGACTCAGGTCACTCCTGTCATCGGCAAAACCTAGGGAGCAGGCGGGCAGGGAGGGCTTCCTGGAGGAAGGGCCACTCCGCGGGGAAAAGAGTACAGCCAAGAGACCTGGGGGGTCTGGCCTGCGCACAGCTTAGCAAGGGGCCTGGGGTGGGCTTGTCGGGTGGGGGCATCTTGGGGTGGGATGGGGTGTCGCTGTGCCTGGGGTGTAGGAAGGCGCTAGTGGGGTGGCGGTGCCGTGGGGGAGGGGCTGGGGCGGAGGCCAGGTGGGAGGAGGGCTGTGTTCCAAGGGCATGGGGAGGGGCTCCTAAGGGGCTAGGGCAGCCCCCCAGAGGGGACGAGGCCGGCGGTGGGGCTGAGGTCTGAGGGGTGCAGGGCACCTCAGCTGCGTGCCCGAGGCTGCCCTCCCCAGGTTAGGGCCACCGCCTTGGGGTGCGGTTGCCCTGAGCCGCCCGCGGATTCTCCAGGTGCTGTTTTTCTTTTTTTGGAAGCCAGAGCAGCCAGGAGCCTAAGGCCCGCCCTGGCGGGATAAATATTTAATAATCAGAAGCACTTTCTAAAATGGAAAGATGGAGCTGGGCCCAGGAGGCCGGGGGTCTGGTGTGGGCGGGCCTAGGGGCTCTCTGCCCGCCCCCCACGGCCACTGGGGGAGGCGCTCGCCCCAAGGGTGGGAGAGAGTAGGAGGCCCCGGCCCCTCTCCAGAGAGGTTTTGGGGACTCCTGCAGGCACATCACACCAGGGCGCCAGGCTGGAGGCAGGGTCAGGGCGGGCTCTCCAGTCCTCCGGGGGCAGCAAGGCCCAGCAAGGTGGGGCTGGCCGGCTGTGGGCTGGGTGCGGACCTAGGAGAGGGATCGGCCGTGCGGCTGGACCCCTGGTGGGGCTCCCTGTTCCTCCTGCCCCTGGACGCTCCAGGCTCCCGGGATGCCCTTGCTCCCTGGCCCTCGGTGGGCCCCGCGGCGGCCCGTCCCCGCCAGGCCTGCTTGGGAGGCGCGGGTGACACATCTCCTGGGAACGCTCCTCGCAGCTCAGTCACTGGCGGCCGGCCGGGCCCACGGAGGTGCCCAGCAGGGCCCTGGCCCAGCTACCACAGTCCTGCTGCCCTCGGCCCCCAGCCTGGGCTGGGCACGGGGAGGGGGCGCACTTGGGGCCGGAGCCCCTCCCTGAGGGGAGTCAGGCTGCCCCTGGAGGACTGGATCCCTTCAGGGGCACCCCCCAGGCCCCAGTGCCACAGCCCGGCCTCCCCCTGCCTGCAGCACCCCCTTGGGCAGGGACCAGAGTGTCCCTCCCCCGGGATGGCTGTGGCACTGGCTGGGCAGTGTGGGAGAAAGCGGGGTCCGGCTGGGGTGGGCCCAGCAGCCAGTGTAGGGGCTCGGAGTCCCAGAGGCCTGGGGGCAGGGTGTGGGGCAGCATCCCTGGGGGGAGCAGGGCAGTGCGGGGCGGCGGGGCGGGGTCTGGCTGTGCCCCTTCCTCTGGCTGGAGAGGTGGGGCCGACCAAGGGCCAGGGCGCCAGGGAGCTGGCAGGTGGAGGGCAGCACTCAGCAGAGTGGTCAGCTGGGGCCCCCAAACTCTGGAGGGGTGGGGTGTGGCAGCCCTGCTCCCGCTAGCATCCTCCTCAGGTTGGGGGGCAGCGGGGCCAAGGTGATGCCCCCGTCCTGGACTGGTGGTCCTGCCGGACTGGTGGTCCCCCAAGACCTCTGGCCTCTTACTCTGGGCAGGCAGGGGTATGGGTGCTGGGGCCGCCTCCCACCCTGAGCCTCAACCCACTGGGATCCTCCTGCTGCCCCCACCTTAGGCCACTTCTGGCTTCTTGAATGGGGGCGGCCCCCCATGACTCCTTCTGTGCCTTCTGCCCTTGGCTGCCCCAGGAGTCCCCACTGGGCCACAGTCCCCGGCCCCACCTGGAGTGACCCCCAGACACCCATCGCGCCCTGGAAAAAGGGCAGGCCTCCCTGCCCCCACCCAGGGCCTGCTCAGGCCTGCTTGTGGGGTGCAGGTGCCCACAGCCAGCTGGGCCTCGCCCCATCAGCTGTGGGGTGCAGGGTGGGGCGGGAGATCTGCAGTTAGCTGGGCTCACACCAGAGGGCCTGCCCTGGCCTGCGCACCTGCAGAGCTGTGTCCACCCCCTCCGTCCTGCGGGGGGCAGTCCAGGGTGAGGGTCAGCAGAGGTGGCCAGCCGGAGCTCTGGGACCAGGTGGCTTGGGGGTTTTGAACCCCTGGCCGGCCCGCCCTGGCCCTGGGGCCTCCTCATGCTGTGGGCAGCTGCACAGGGCAGCTGACTCTGTGTTGAGGGGCCGCATTGCCGGGGCGCAGGGGTCCCAGATGGAGCAGATGTGTCCGGTGGGTGCCTGGGATATCTGCAGGGACCCCAGCAGGGCCTGTGGGGTGTGGACCACCTGTGCTTTCCCAGGGCGGGGCGGGCGGGGAACAGTGTCAGCCAGGGACGGTTCCTCCCTCATCCTGTCACAGCCCTGCCTGGGGCACTTGGGGTGGGGCCGGGTCCCCAGTGCCAAGAAGCTGAGGGGGCGGGGTCCGGGCCCCGCCCACCCTGCTAAGCTGAGGGCTCTTCACTCTGGGGATCACATCGCCTGGAGAGCTGGGTGAGCAGGCTGCCCGCCCTGTGCCCACCGCGCCAGAGCCCCGCTGGCCCAGCCTGGCGGCTGCCCACCTCCCCTCCCAGCAGGTCTGTGGGGCTGGGGTGGGCAGCAGGGGCAGATGGGGCACAGAGTGGAGGCATCTCCTGGACCCCGCGCTGCCCGGCCTGCCGAGCCATCCACCATGGCCAGGGCACAAGCGCCATCGCAGTCCCGGGCCAGGCAGACCCTCGAGACCAGAGCCCGCGGCCTGGAGGGCCCCCCGTGGGGGTGCGTGCGGCTGGGAGGGCTGCCCACCGCAGGGCCTCAGGCGGGCGCAGGGGCTGCTGCAGCCCAGGGCTAGGCCGGGTGGGTGGGCTAGGCTGGGCCCGTGGTGGGTGCACAGGGCCCAGGGGACACACCTGCTGCCCTCCCAGCACAGAGGCCAGTCGCCCTCGGGAGAGTCCAGTCTCCCCTGCAGCTCTGCCCTGCCCCTCTACTCCCTGCACGGGCATTGACTGTGCCCGCTGTGTACGGTCGCCTGGTGCGCAGAGGCATGAGCCAGTGTCTGGGCCAGGGGCCGGGCTGGCAGGGCTGGCGGGCAGGGGAGGGAAGTGGAGGAGCCTGGCTGAGCTCACTCATGGGCAGGAGGCCTGGCCTGGCAGCAGCTGAGGAGCTGGGGGGCCCCGCCAGACTCTGAGAGGCTTCTGGGCTGTTTGTGCCGGGGACTGTGGGGGGCGAGGAGAAGGGTGGGTGATGGGAATCCCCGGTGGCAGAGCCGCCGCCCCAGGCCCAGGCAGACAGGAGGTCCCCTGCCTCGGGGCAGGGGCAGGCGAGGGCCGCCCGGAGCCCCCTGGGGAGCTGGGCCCTTGGCTGCGGGTGTTGCTCTGGAGAGTCTGCCAGTCCCAAGACCGGTGAAGTTCCAGGATGGGGCGAGGCCGCCCCGTGTGCCCCCGTGGGCGCTGCCCCAGGGCCAGCCTGCACCCGCTCCTGCCCCCTCCCAGGCCGTGCGCTAGAGCGGGAGGGACCCATGTGCTACCCTTGCCCCGCGGACACCGGAGCACACCCCTGGCAGGCAGTGCCGGGCCCCTCAGGCCCCTCTGCGGAGCCCCGGCACGGCCGAGTCCTGGGACAGGCCCTCCTGCCCTCCAGACCTCGCTGACCTGCCCCGACAGCCAGCTTGTTTAAGCACAGTCAGCCCCGGGGCCTCCTCTGGACTCTCCCAGAGCCCCCTTGGTGCCAGCCGCAGGCCCTGTGGGCAGGGAGAGTGGGGGTTGCCCTGGGCCATCACCCCTCGATCACGCAGTCCCCGCTCGCTCTGGATAGTCCATGTCCTGTAGGCGCAACCGGTGTGGACCAGGGGCCTCTGCCCGCCTCGGCCCCGGCCGCCACCGCCCAGGCCACCCCCGCAGTACCAGCCTCTCCTGGTCCTCCCACCGGCACCGCCGGGTGGGGCGCTCTGGTGTAAGCGGGGAGGGCTGGGGGCGCGGGACAGCCCCCCTGTGGAGTGGGCTCTGTGGCTTCCCTCCACCGGCACTGTCACGCCGAGGACTGGCCAGCCTGGCCATGGCCCCCTCCCCAGCACTTGGGCCGAGCTGAGACCCTCAGGACCCTCAGGGCCCCCACGGGATGGTGCAGCCTGAGGCTGGCGGGGGGCCGGCACCCTCACCTCCTGCCCCAGGGCCCTCCTGCTATCTGCGCAGCCCCGATCTGTGTGAGGGGTGCAAGAGACATGGGTCTGCTACCACCCGGCAGCACCCAGCTGCCTGCCCAGGCCGCGGCCTGCCCCCCTCCTGCCCCCATCTCCGCCCTGCAGGTGCCCGCCCCGGGGGTCCTGAGGCTGGGGCTGGCCTCCCGGGCTGCCTGGGCCCCGCCTCAGTTCCCAGCCTGGGGTGTGTCTGCTCTCCCAGTTGTCAGCCTGTCCTCCCTGGTTCTTGACACCCACGAGGCTTCCCTGGAACAGATTTGGGGTGTAGCCCTTTACACCCACAAGGCTGCCCTGGAACAGATTTGGGGTACTGTTTCTTAAATATGGGGGTTCCTGCCCTACCAGGTGGACCTTCAACTCAGGGCCCTCCCAGAATGCTGTGTCCAGCCTGTACCCTCTTCCTCGGGGTCCCTCGTCCCAGTGGCTGTGGTCCAGGCCCTCCCCAGGCCTGTCTGGCGGGGCCTCCGCCCAGTGCGGGGAACGCCCAGCCCTGCCAGAGCAGCGCCCGGTGCCTTGTGACTCAGGGGCGGAGGCTGGTTCTGGGGGTGGGGGGTGCTGGGCCTCTGGGCTGGTGGAGTTTCTCAGGATGCCCACCCCGACTCGGGGGAAGCGTGAGCGCCCCGCAGGGCCCCCCTCTGCCCCGCCCCCGGGTCAAGGGAGGCAGCCCCCATGTGCCCCCGTGGGCGCTGCCCCAGGGCCAGCCTGTACCCTCTTCCTGGGCTTCTCTCGCCCCAGTGGCTTTGGTCCAGGTCCTCCCTGCCTGGCTGGGCCTCTGCTCAGGGGGCGGGGCACCCCCGGGACTTACCCTCCTTCCAGCCTCCGATTCCTCATGGGTGACCGCGGGGCACTCGCTCGGGATGGGGAGCGAGGGAATGGGCAGAACAGGGCGGGAACCCGAGGCCCAGGAGAGTGGGCTCAGCTGCGCTGCCCCGGCTGGTGTGAGGGCAGGCTCCCGGACAGGCCCCCGGGCTCCCCACCCCGCCGCAGCGGGACCCGCCCCTCCCGGCCCTGCCCGCGGCTCCTCCGGGCCAGACACCAGAGCGGGCGGCGAGCACTGGCCTTCGCCGGAGGCGGCCCGCCTGGGCAGCGAGGGGCTGTCCTCCCCGTCCAGGGAAGCCAGGCCCGATGGCCAGCCCGGGCCGGCGCCCCAGCTGCCGGGGCGGGGGAGGCTGTGAGATCCGCTGCGTCCCCGGGCGCTGGCGACTCTGCTTCATCGCCAGCTCCAGAGCCGCTCGGCCCCGCTCCCCGCTGCGGCGACGGGCGCCCCCTCCGGGGCTCCTCAGGGACTTGGGAGCCATCCAAGTCACAGTTTGGCAGCCTTTGGATGTCGGGTGGCCGCGGGACTTTTTCCCTCGGAAAAGGTACAAGTCCTGAGAGTGGCTGGACGCCCTTCCCAGGTGGACGCGCTGGTCCCGGGGCAGCGGCCCTCCCCGTCCGCCTTCAGCTCCGCGCCCGGGCGGGAGGAAGGCGCCCGCGTGCTGGCGGCCGGAGCGGCTGGGGCCCGGCGTCCTTTCTGGGTGGCCGGGCCTCGAGCGTGACCTCTGGCGCCAGCTGGTCGGCTGTGACGCGGCGTCCTCGGGCGTCCCCGCAGCTCTGCGCCGGCAGCCGTCTGTCCCGCGTCCGTCCCTGGCCGTCCCCTCCGCCCTCTCTCCCCGGTGACCGCCGACTCCTGAGTGGGCGCGCCCACCCTTCCTGCTTTTCCTTTCAGATCTAACCCCGCTCTCTTCCTTTTCCTTTTTTTTCCCAAAGATTTATTTTATTTATTTATGCGCACAAGGGCTGGGTGCAGGCCGGAGGTGCGGGGGTGGGAGCACCCACCAGAGGCAGAGCGGGGAGCAGGACAGGCGGACTGATGACGCCCGCTGCTGGGGGAGCCACGGGGGACGGGAGGGTCGACCGCGCCTGCGGGCAGCTCCCTGGCGGGGGTGGAGCTCAGGCCGCAGCGGCTGCAAACAGCCTCCCGGGGCCGAGCCTGCCCCTGAGCCCCAGGCAGGCCCCGTCTCCCTTCTTCCAGCCAAGGTTTTGTGGAATGTCAAGCCCCTTTATGCTGAACGTGAGCGGTTGGCTTCACCGCCTCCGTCGCCTCCCGGCCTTGCCCCGGGGCTCCCCGAGTGGACGCTCCTGGCCTCGGGGAGCAAAGGACGCGTGGACACTGCGGGCGCTTGGGTGGTGTCGGGCTCCGCTCCCCTCGGCGGAGCGCGGCTCCTCAGAGCCGAGCCTGCCCCAGAAGCCTCGGGGGATCCCAGCCTGGGTGGCCGGGGCGGCGTGGAGAAAGGGGTGCTGCCCAGCCGTGGTGCCGGGCTGGACGCGGGGACGGGGGGTGAGGCCGCAGGTCGGCCCGGTCAAGCACCGCTTGTCGCGGACGGGGGTCCCGGCTCCGCCTTTAAAGGCTTCTCTGCCCCTCGGCCCCTCCCCCAACAGCCCGGCCCAGGCAGGGGCCCAGCTGCGCCCCTTACGGCACCAGCCGGGGCCTTAAAGGGCTGCCCGGTGGCCTGGGGCACAGCCACCGGGGACAGAGCCGCCCGGGCGGTATGGGGCGCACGCTCCGCCAGGGTGGCCGCAGGGCGGCCCGCACGGGTCCACAGCTGACGGCTGAGGTCGGGGGTTCGCACAGCCCAGTCCAGGCGGCAGGCGTGGCGGGGACGTCGGGGCCTGGCTCGAGCCGGAGCGGCCGCGGTGCCCCTGTGCGAGGGCGGGATGCAGCTGCCCAGGGCTGCCCGGGCCGGGGTCAGGGTCAGGGCGAGTCATTTCCCGTCGCGCGCCAGGCGTCTCAGGTCCTCGGGGCCACCCAGGGCTGCTGGCCTCGGGGTGCGGCCGCCTGTGTCCCCGCAACACTCCGCACGCCCTGGTGTCCGTCTGATGGAGCCCCCCGCGGCCCTGCCCCGGCTGCCCGCCGCGCTCTGCTGACACCTGTCTCCGCAGGGACTGGCCGGCAGCTGCAGCCGGAAGAGCCGGACGTGGAGGCGGAGGAGGACCGCTCCGTAAGTGGGGGACCGCCCTCCTGGCCAGGCCTGGGCAGGGCCGAGGGCTGAGCGCCGTCCTCTCCTCCCGGCAGGTGACCGCGCGCGAGCTGGTGCGGCCGCAGCCCCAGGGGTCCTCTCCTGTGTACGAGTGCGTGGCCGAGGGCGCCGGCTCTGGACTCCCGGTAAGCCCGCCCGATGGAGGCCGCGGGGGGCCGGGCGAGGAGCCCCTGCAGCCGGGCCACCGGCCTCCTCGCCGACCCCTCCCCTTGGGGCCCCGCCGGCCAGGCCGGAACACTGTGGCGGGGGTGCGCGTGACAGGCGGGTCCCGCGAGAGACGGGGTCCCTGGGGCCTGCTGCTCCCCAGCTGTCCGCTACCCTCTCCCGCCCGCCGGCGCCGCGCCCTGGCCTTGTGCAGCGGCCAGTGCTGGGCAGGGCTGAGCCGTTCCCCTGCGGCTCCGCTCCCGCCTGCACAGCAGGGGCCGGCGGTGCCCGGGCCTGAGCCGAGGTCTCCGGGCCTCCCAGGGTCCCCTGCGCCGGGGGCAGGTGAGTGACCCCTCTGTCCGTGGCTGCAGGGCGACGCGCCGGGCGGGCCAGCCTCCTCGGGGAGACGGAGGTCCTGGTGGCGACGGGAGTCAGGGGCGTCTCGGGCATTTCCCAGGATGAGCAGCCCAGAGGTGGGTTTGGGCAGCGCGGGCAGCAGAGTGGGCCCCGCGCAGGCCCCGGGCCAGGGCCCAGAGTGCAGGGCCGCCCGGCCGGCCACCGCACTCTCCACCCTGTGCCCAGGAGCCCGGCCGGGCGGGGAGCTGCTCCTCAGCTGTGTGGGGCTGGCCGCTCACGTCCGCTCAGGCCGCGGAAGCCTTTAGATGGCGCGGCCGCCTGCCAGAGGGTCCCTGCCCCAGGCTGCCGGGTCTGTGGTGGCAGGACGGGCGCTTGGAGGCCCCGCCAGATCCAGGCCCCGGCCCCAGCATTTCCGCAGCGTCTGGCCGGCTGCCCCGGGCCCACACTGGGGCGGGGCGGGGCGGGGAGCAGCACGAGGGCCGGGCCTGCCCCGGCCGCTCCCCGTGCCTGCTGGTCCTGGACGGGGCCTGGTTGCGCAGGGGTCACCCCGGGGGGGCACCAAGCGCAGCTCCCCCAGAGCTGCCTGCGGCTGGCTCGTCCCCGAGCGGCACACGGCCGGGAACCCGTGGCTCCGCGTGGCGGGCGGTGGGCAGCCGGGACTGTCCTCTGTGGGGGACGTTCTGCCGCCACGGCCTCGTGCTCTGCGGCCGCGCAGGACGCCCCGGAGGTGACGCTGGAGACCAAGGCGGAGGCGGGGGCCAGCGGCTACAGCGTGGCCGGCGGCGGGAGCCGGGGCGTCTTCGTCAAGCACGTGTTGAAGGGGTCCTCGGCAGCCAAGCTCTTCAACCTGAGAGAAGGTGCCAGACACCCCAGTCCCGGGCCCTGGGCCCACCGGGAAGGGAGGCCGGGAGGGGTCTGGGCACACACGACCTCTGGGTGACCCTTGAGGCTCTGGGAACAAATGAAAAATATCTCACGTGACCCCGGGCGACCCTGCCCCCCACGACGTCCTGGGGGTGGCTCTAGGAGCCGGGCCCTTTCCTCGTGCTCCCCCTGGGGGCTAAACCAGGGTCCCTCCACGCCAGGGGACCAGCTGCTCAGCGCCACCATATTCTTCGACGACATCAAATATGAAGATGCGCTCAAGATCCTGCAGTACTCGGAGCCCTACAGGGTCCAGTTCCAGATTAGACGGAAACTTCCGGCCAGACAGGACGAGGCCCAGCTGTCCAGAGGCACCCAGCAGGGCCCAGCAGGCACCAAGAAGCAGGTGAGGGGCCCTGGCTCTGGAGGCCCCTGCACCCCTGCCGCCCCCAGCGGCCTCTCGCCGCCCTGCGGTGGACCGACCCCTGCCCTTGCGTTGCAGCTCCAGGTGGCCCCTGACGGCCCCCCAGGCACGCCCGCGAAGACGCTGGAGGCAGACTCAGACCAGGACAGACTGCTGGGGCGCCCGGATCGGGCCAGGGGCCGGCAGCCCCAGAAGGAGCGGCTCTCCTGGCCGAAGTTCCAGCCCGGGAAGGGCAGTCGCCAGCTGGGGCCCCGGCGCTCACGCAGCTCCTCGGAGGCCCAGGAGCTGTCGCCCACGCACCCCTGCTCAGAGGCTCCGCTCCCGGTGGGGAGGCCCCCGGGGGCCGGCTGCAGAGCCTGAGGCTCAGGCTGGGCATGGGGAGGAGCTATGCGCCCGGCGGGGCAGCAGGCAAGGCAGCCCGGGGCGGGGAGGAGGGGGCCCGCGCCCAGCTCCTGGAGGACGCAGGGCTCTGGGATGAGGGCTGGGGGGACCCCAGGATAGACTCGGGAGGCTGGGGTGAGGGCGAGACCCCAGGGGCACCCCGGGCCACGGCCCTGCCAGGCCCACAGCAGCAGGTGGCACCTGGCGGCCTCGGCACAGACAGAGGAGAGACAGGCCAGGGGGACCCCATGCCAGGCGGGAAAACTGGGGGAGCCCAGGCCCTAGGGTGTGGGGGGGTGAGCGCGAGTGAGGGGGTGTGCGAGCTGGAGGCTGGGATAGCCCGGCTGTCCCTGCAGGACACACACCCACAGGTGGACGCCACAGGGCACATGCGGGGCTCACACCCCGACCGGCCCCAGTCAGAGGCACCAAAGATCAAGGAGGCAAAAGACGGGGCCGGAGAGGCTGAGGGAGGGTGGGCAGCACCGGCGGCGGGAAAGATGCCGCAGAGTGAAGGCGCAGCACAGGTGGGCGCCAGGGAGTGGGGGCACGTGGTCCGGGGACTGGCGGACGAGGCTTCCACAGACAGCAAGGTCAGCATCATCAGGCTGAAGATGCCCTCCTTTGGGGTGTGGACAGAGCAGCAGTCCAGGGAGGGAGCCGAGGAGGAGCACAAGTCCAGCCACGGTGAGCGGGCAGAGCATGGGCACCAACACAGGCACAAAAAACAAACCGCCCAGGACCTCAGCATTCAGCCACCATTGGCCGAGGTGGAAGACCCGACTGTCCAGGTCGCTGTGAAGCTGCCTGAGGGGCACGTGCCCGAAGGAGACTTCGCCCAGGCTGAAATGACCGCTGGACTCAAGGGCCACCTCCCCAAGGTGAAGACGGGCCGCCTCAAGATGCCGAAGGTGGAGCTCAAGGCACCCCAGTTGGATGTCAAGGGTCCCAGTATGGATCTAGAGGGTCCCAAGATGACGGTCAGTTGCCCCGACGTGGACATGTCCATGGCCAGGACACAGGTGGACATCCAGGCACGGGGAAACTTGCTGGAGGGGGACCTGGGACTGGGAGACACGGAGGTGACCTCCAGAGATAGTAAGTTCAAAATGCCTAAGTTCAAGATGCCCTCCTTCGGCGTGTCGGCCCCCGGCAAGACTGAGAAGGCCTCTGTCGAGGTGGACGCATCCCTGCCCCAGGGCCAGGCAGACGTCTCGTGGCCGCCCATGCAGGGAGGCATCAATGCCCCGGACGTCAATATTAAGCTGCTTTCAGCTAAGGTGGACGACCCGACTGTCCAGGAAGCCATGAAGCAGCCCGAGGGCCACGTGCCCAAAGGAAACTTCACCCAGCCTGAAATGGGTGCTGGACACAAGGGCCACCTGCCCAAGGTGAAGACAGGCAGCCTCAAGATGCCCAAGGTGGACTTCAAGGTGCCCCAGGTGGACATCAAGGTCCCCAGTGTGGACCTGGAGGGTCCCAAGGTGACAGTCAGTTGTCCCAAGGTGGACGTGTCCATGGCCAGTACAGAGGTGGACATCCAGGCACCAGGAGTCTCACTGGAGGGGGACGTGGGCCTGGGAGACAAGGAGGGGATCTCCAGAGACAGCAAGTTCAAAATGCCCAAGTTCAAGATGCCCTCCTTCGGGATGTCAGCCTCAGGCAAGACTGGGAAAGCATCGGTTGAGGTGGACACGTCCCTGCCCAAGGTCCAGACAGACATCTCATTGCCGTCCATAAAGGGAGTCGTCACAAACCCCGACCTCACCATTAAGCTGCCCTCGGCCGAGATGGAGGACTCAACTGTGCAGGTCACCGTGAAGCTGCCCGAGGGCTACGTGCCCAAAGGAGACTTCACTCAGCCTGAAATGGGCGCTGGACTCAAGGGCCACCTCCCCAAGGTGAAGACAGACAGCCTCAAGATAGCCAAGGTGGACCTCAAGGCACCCAAGTTGGACGTCCAAGGTGCCAGTGTGGACCTGGAGAGTCCCAAGGTGATGAGCAGTTGCCCTGACATGGACGTGTCCATGGCCAGCTCACAGGTGGACATCCAGGCACCGAGAGTCTCGCTACGGGGAGACCTGGGCCTGGGAGACATGGAGGTGACCTCCAGAGACAGCAAGTTCAAAATGCCCAAGTTCAAGGTGCCCTCCTTCGGCGTGTCCACCCCGGGCAAGTCCGGGAAGGCCTCGGTCGAGGTAGACGTGTCCCTGCCCCAGGGCCAGGCAGACATCTCGTGGCAGGGAGGCAACAAGGCCCCCGACCTCAGCATTAAGCTGCCTTCAGCCAAGATGGACAACCAAACTATCCAGGTCGATGTTAAGTTACCCAAGGGCCAGGTGCCCGAAGGAGACTTCTCCCAGCTGGAAATGGGCGCTGGACTCGAGGGCCACCTCCCCAAGGTGAAGACAGGCAGCCTCAAGATGCCCAAGGTGGACCTCAAGGCACCTGAGTTGGACATCAAGGGCACGAGTGTGGACCTGGAGGGTCCCAAGGTGACGGTCAGTTGCCCTGAGGTGGACTTGTCCATGGCCAGTTCAGAGGTGGACATCCAGGAACCAGGAGTCTCACTGGAGGGGGACGTGGGCCTGGGAGACGCGGAGGTGACCCCTAGAGACAGCAAGTTCAAAATGCCCAAGTTCAAGATGCCCTCCTTTGGCGTATCCACCCCAGGCAAGTCCGGGAAGGCCTCGGTCGAGGTGGACACATCCTTGCCCAAGGTCCAGGCAGACATATCATTGCCTTCCTTCAAGGGAGACGTCAGGGCCCCAGACCTCAGCATTAAGCCGCCTTCAGCCGAGGTGGACGTCCCGACTGTCCAGGTCGCCGTGAAGCTACCCGAGGGCCACGTGCCCGAAGGAGACTTTGCCCAGCCTGAAATGGGCACAGGGCTAAAGGGCCACCTCCCCAAGGTGAAGACAGGCAGCCTCAAGATGCCCAAGGTGGACCTCAAGGCACCCGAGTTGGACATCAAGGGCGCGAGTGTGGACCTGGAGAGTCCCAAGGTAATGATCAGTTGCCCCACGGAGGACGTGTCCATGGCCAGCTCACAGGTGGACATCCAGGCACCGGGAGTCTCACTGGAGGGGGACGTGAGCCTGGGAGACGCGGAGGTGACCCCCAGAGACAGCAAGTTCAAAATGCCCAGGTTCAAGATGCCCTCCTTCGGCGTGTCCATCCCGGGCAAGTCCGGGAAGGCCTCAGTTGAGGTGGACACATCCTTGCCCAAGGTCCAGGCAGACATATCATTGCCTTCCTTCAAGGGAGATGTCAAGGCCCCAGACCTCAGCATTAAGCCGCCTTTGGCCGAGGTGGATGTCCCGACTGTCCAGGTCGCCGTGAAGCTACCCGAGGGCCACGTGCCCGAAGGAGACTTTGCCCAGCCTGAAATGGGCGCAGGGTTAAAGGGCCACCTCCCCAAGGTAAAGACAAGCAGCCTCAAGATGCCCAAAGTGGACCTCAAGGCACCCGAGTTGGACATCAAGGGCACGAGTGTGGATCTGGAGAGTCCCAAGGTGATGGTCAGTTTCCCTGAGGTGGACGTGTCCGTGGCCAGCTCAGAGGTGGACATCCAAGCACCAGGAGTCTCACTGGAGGGGGACATGGGACTGGTAGATGCGGAGGTGACCTCCAGAGACAGCAAGTTCAAAATGCCCAAGTTCAAGATGCCTTCCTTCAGCGTGTCAGGCCCGGAAAAGACTGGTAAGGCCTCCGTCGAGGTGGACGTGTCCCTGCCCAAGGACCAGGCAGACATATCGTTGCCGTCCTTTAAGGGAGACATCAAGGCCCCAGATCTCAGCATTAAGCAGCCCTCGGACAAGGTGGACGTCCCGACTGTCCAGGTCGCCGTGAAGCTGCCCGAGGGCCACGTGCCCGAAGGAGACGTCGCCCAGCCTGAAATGGGCGCTGGACTCAAGGGCCACCTCCCCAAGGTGAAGACAGGCAGCCTCAAGATGCCCAAAGTGGACCTCAAGGCACCGGAGTTGGACATCAAGGGCACGAGTGTTGACATGGAGGGTCCCAAGGTGACAGTCAGTTGCCCCGAAGTGGACGTGTCCTTGGCCAGCTCACTGGTGGACATCCAGGCACCGGGAGTCTCACTGGAGGGGGACGTGGGCCTGGGAGACGCGGAGGTGACCCCCAGAGACAGCAAGTTCAAAATGCCCAAGTTCAAGATGCCCTCCTTTGGCGTGTCCACCCCGGGCAAGTCCGGGAAGGCCTCAGTTGAGGTGGACACATCCTTGCCCAAGGTCCAGGCAGACATATCATTGCCGTCCTTTAAGGGAGATGTCAAGGCCCCAGACCTCAACATTAAGCCGCCTTTGGCCGAGATGAATGTCCCGACTGTCCAGGTCGCCGTGAAGCTGCCCGAGGGCCATGTGCCCAAAGGAGACTTTGCCCAGCCTGAAATGGGCGCAGAGTTAAAGGGCCACCTCCCCAAGGTGAAGACGGGTAGCCTCAAGATGCCCAAAGTGGACCTCAAGGCACCCAAGTTGGACATCAAGGGCGTGAGTGTGGACCTGGAGGGTCCCAAGGTGATGGTCTGTTTCCCCGAGGTGGATGTGTCCGTGGCCAGCTCACAGGTGGACATCCAGGCACCAGGAGTCTCACTGGAGGGGGACGTGGGACTGGTAGATGCAGAGGTGACCTCCAGAGACAGCAAGTTCAAAATGCCCAAGCTCAAGATGCCCTCCTTTGGGGTGTCCACCCCGGGCATGTTCGAGAAGGACTCGGTCAAGGTGGACACATCCTTGCCTAAGTTCCAGGCAGACATATCGTTGCCATCCTTTAAGGGAGATGTCCAAGCCCCAGACCTCAGCATTAAGCCGCCTTCGACCGAGGTGGACGTCCCGACTGTCCAGGTCGCCGTGAAGCTGCCCGAGGGCCACGTGCCCAAAGGAGACTTTGCCCAGCCTGAAATGGACGCAGGGCTAAAGGGCCACCTCCCCAAGGTGAAGACAGGTAGCCTCAAGATGCCCAAAGTGGACCTCAAGGCACCCAAGTTGGACATCAAGGGCATGAGTGTGGACCTGGAGGGTCCCAAGGTGACGGTCAGTTGCCCTGACGTGGACGTGTCCATGGCCAGCTCACAGGAGGACATCCAGGCAATGGGAGTCTTGCTAGAGCGGGACCTGGGCCTGGGAGTCACGGAGGTGACCTCCAGAGACAGCAAGTTCACAATGCCCAAGTTCAAGATGCCCTCCTTCGAGGTGTCCACCCCGGGCAAGACTGGGAAAGCCTCAGTCAAGGTGGATGCATCCCTGCCCCACGGCCAGGGAAATGTCTCGTTGCCATCGATGCAGGGAGACGTCAGCATTAAGCTGCCCTCAGCCGAGGTGGATGTCGCGACTGTCCAGGTCGCCGGCAAGCTGTCCGAGGGCCCGGTGCCTGAAGGAGACTTCGCCCAGCCCGAAATGGGCACTGGACTCAAGGGCCACCTCCCCAAGGTAAAGACAGGCAGCCTCAAGATGCCCAAGGTGGACTTTCAGGTACCTCAGTCAGGCATCAAGGGCCTCAGTGTGGATCTGGAGAGACCCAAGGTGACAGTCAGTTGCCCCGAGGTGGACGTGCCCATGACCAGTACACAGGTGGACACCCAGGCTCTGGGTGTCTCACTGGAGGGGAAAGTGGGCCTGGGAGACGCGGAGGTGACGTCCAGAGACAGCAAGTTCAAAATGCCCAAGCTCAAGACGCCCTCCTTCAGCTTGTCGGGCCCGGGCAAGACTGGTAAGGCCTCCATCGAGGTGGACGCGTCCCTGCCCCAAGGTCAGGCAGACGTCTCTTGGCCATCCATACAGGAAGGCGTGAAGGCCCAGGACCTCAGCATTAAGCTGCCTTCGGCCGAGGTTGATATCCCGACGATCCAGGTCACCATGAAGCTACCCGAAGGCCATGTGCCTGAAGGAGACTTTGCCCAGCCTGTAATGGGTGCTGGACTCAAGGGCCACCTGCCAAAGGTGAAGACAGGAAGCCTCAAGATGCCCAAGATGGACCTCAAGGCACCCGAGTTGGACATCAAGGGCGCAAGTGTGGACCTGGAGGGTCCCAAGGTGACAGTCAGTTGCCCCGAGGTGGACGTGTCCATGGCCAGCTCACAGGTGGACATCCAGGCACCTGGAGTCTCACTGGAGGCGGACGTGGGCCTGGGAGACGCGGAGGTGACCTCCAGAGACAGCAAGTTCAAAATGCCCAAGTTCAAGATGCCCTCATTTGGCGTGTCCACCCCGGGCAAGTCCGGGAAGGCCTCGGTTGAGGTGGACGCGTCCCTGCCCCAGGGCCATGCAGACATATTGTTGCCGTCCCTTAAGGGAGAGGTCAAAGCCCCAGACTTCAGCATTAAGCTGCCTTCGGCCGAGATGGACGTCCTGAGTGTGCAGGTCGATGCGAAGCAGCCAAAGGGTCAGGTGCCAGAAGGAGACTTCACCCAGCCTGAAATGGGCGCTGGACTCAAGGGCCACCTCCTGAAGGTGAAGACAGGCAGCCTCAAGATTCCCAAGGTGGACTTCAAAGCAGGTCAGTCAGACATCAACGGCCCCAGTGTGGACCTGGAGGGTCCCAAGGTGACAGTCAGTGGCCCCGAAGAGGACGTGTCCATGGCCAGCTCACAGGGGGACATCCAGGCACCGGGAGTCTCGCTAGAGCGGGACCTGGGCCTGGGAGACACGGAGGTGACCTCCAGAGACAGTAAGTTCAAAATGCCCAAGTTCAAGATGCCCTCCTTCAGCGTTTCCGCCCCAGGCAAGTCCAGGAAGGCCTTGGTTAAGGTGGATGCGTCCCTGCCCCATGGCCAGGCAGACGTCTCGTTGCCGTCAACGCAGGGAGACATCAGCAATAAGCTGCCCTCGGCTGAAGTGGACATCTTGACGGTCCAGGTCGATGTGAAGCTGCCCGAGGTCCCGGTGCCTGAAGGAGACTTCACCCAGCCCGAAATGGGCACCGGACTCAAGGGCCACCTCCCCAAGGTGAAGACAGGCAGCCTCAAGATGCCCAAGATGGACCTCAGGGCACCCCAGTTGGACGTCAAGAGCCCCAGTGTGGATCTGGAGGGTCCCAAGATGACGGTCATTTGCTCCGACGTATCCATGGCCAGCACACAGGTGGACATCCAGGCACCGGGAGTCTCGCTGGAGGGGGATGTGGGCCTGGGAGATGCGGAGGTGACCCTCAGAGACAGCAAGTTCAAAATGCCCAAGTTTAAGATGCCCTCCTTTGGCGTGTCAGGCCTGGGCAAGTCCGGGAAGGCCTCGGTCGAGGTGGACGCATCCCTGCCTAAGGTGCAAAGAGACGTTTTGTTGCCATCTATTAAGGGAGAAGTCAAGGCCCCTGATCTCAGCATTAAGCTGCCTGAAGCTGAGATGGACAACCCAACTGTCCAGGTGGATGTTAAGCTACCCGAGGTCCAGGGGCCCGAAGGAGACTTCTCCCAGCTGGAAATGGGCGCTGGACTCAAGGGCCACCTCCCCAAGGTGAAGACAGGCAGCCTCAAGATGCCCAAGGTGGACCTCAAGGCACCCGAGTTGGACATCAAGGGCGCGAGTGTGGACCTGGAGGGTCCCAAGGTGACGGTCAGTTGTCCCGAGGTGGACGTGTCCATGGCCAGTTCAGAGGTGGACATCCAGGCACCGGGAGTCTCACTGGAGGGGGACGTGGGCTTGGGAGACGCAGAGGTGACCCCCAGAGACAGCAAGTTCAAAATGCCCAAGTTCAAGATGCCCTCCTTCGGCGTGTCCACCCCGGGCAAGTCCGGGAAGGCCTCAGTTGAGGTGGACACATCCTTGCCCAAGGTCCAGGCAGACATATCATTGCCTTCCTTCAAGGGAGACGTCAAGGCCCCAGACCTCAGCATTAAGCTGCCTTCAGCCGAGGTGGACGTCCCGACTGTCCAGGTCGCCGTGAAGCTACCCGAGGGCCACGTGCCCGAAGGAGACTTCGCCCAGCCTGAAATGGGTGCCGGGCTAAAAGGCCACCTCCCCAAGGTGAAGACAGGCAGCCTCAAGATGCCCAAGGTGGACTTTCAGTTACCTCAGTCAGACATCAAGGGCCCCAGTGTGGACCTGGAGGGTCCCAAGGTGACGGTCAGTTGCCCTGAGGTGGACGTGTCCATGGCCAGTACAGAGGTGGACATCCAGGCACCGGGAGTCTCACTGGAGGGGGACGTGGGCCTGGGAGACGCGGAGGTGACCCCCAGAGACAGCAAGTTCAAAATGCCCAAGTTCAAGATGCCCTCCTTCGGCGTGTCCACCCCAGGCAAGTCCGGGAAGGCCTCAGTCGAGGTAGACACATCCTTGCCCAAGGTCCAGGCAGACATATCATTGCTGTCCTTTAAGGGAGATGTCAAGGCCCCAGACCTCAGCATTAAGCCGCCTTCGGCCGAGGTGGATGTCCCGACTGTCCAGGTCGCCGTGAAGCTACCCGAGGGCCATGTGCCCGAAGGAGACTTTGCCCAGCCTGAAATGGGCGCAGGGTTAAAGGGCCACCTCCCCAAGGTGAAGACAAGCAGCCTCAAAATGCCCAAAGTGGACCTCAAGGCACCCGAGTTGGACATCAAGGGCGTGAGTGTGGACCTGGAGGGTCCCAAGGTGATGGTCAGTTTCCCCGAGGTGGACATGTCCGTGGCCAGCTCACAGGTGGACATCCAGGCACCGGGAGTCTCACTGGAGGGGGACGTGGGCCTGGGAATCACCGAGGGGACCTCCAGAGACAGCAAGTTCAAAATGCCCAAGTTCAAGATGCCCTCCTTCGGCGTGTCTGCCCCGGGCAAGACTGGGAAAGCATCGGGCGAGGTGGACGCATCCCTCCCCCTTGGCCAGGCAGACGTCTCATTGCCATCGATGCAGGGAGACGTCAGCATAAAGCTGCCGTCGGCCAAGGTGGACGTCCCGACTGTCCAGGTTGCCGGCAAGCTGTCCGAGGGCCCGGTGCCTGAAGGAGACTTCGCCCAGCCCGAAATGGGCACTGGACTCAAGGGTCACCTCCCCAAGGTGAAGACAGGCAGCCTCAAGATGCCCAAGGTGGACTTTCAGGTACCTCAGTCAGACATCAAGGGCCCCAGTGTGGACCTGGAGGGTCCCAAGGTGATGGTCAGTTGTCCTGATGTGGACGTGTCTATGGCCAGTACAGAGGTGGACATCCAGGCCCCAGGAGTCTCACTGGAGGGAGACGTGGGCCTGGGAGACGCGGAGGTGACCTCCAGAGACAGCAAGTTCAAAATGCCCAAGCTCAAGATGCCCTCCTTCGGCGTGTCCTCCTCGGGCAAGTCCAGGAAGGCTTCGGTTCAGGTGGACGCGTCCCTGCCCCAGGGCCATGCAGACATATCATTGCCATCCTTTAAGGGAGACATCAAGGCCCCAGACCTCAGCATTAAGCTGCCGTCGTCCAAGGTGGACGTCCTGACTGTCCAGGTCGCCGTGAAGCTGCCTGAGGGCCACGTCCCCGAAGGAGACGTCACCCAGCCTGAAATGGGCGCTGGACTCAAGGGTCACCTCCCCGAGGTGAAGACAGGCAGCCTCAAGATGCCCAAGGTGGACTTCAAGGCAGGTCAGTTAGACATCAAGGACCCTAGTGTGGACCTGGAGGGTCCCAAAGTGACGGTCAGTTACCCCAACATGGACGTGTCCATGGCCAGCTCACAGGTGGACATCCAGGCACCAGGAATCTCATTGGAGGGGGACATGGGCCTGGGAGACATGGAGGTGACCTCCAGAGACAGCAAGTTCAAAATGCCCAAGTTCAAGATGCCCTCCTTCGGGGTTTCGGGCCCGGGTAAGACCGGAAAAGCCTCAGTCGAGGTGGACACGTCCCTGCCCCATGGCCAGGCAGAAGTCTCGTTGCCATCGATGCAGGGAGACATCAGCATTTCGCTCTCCTCGGCCGAGGTGTATGTCCCGACTGTCCAGGTCGCCATGAAGCTGCCCGAAGGCCATGTGCCTGAAGGCGACTTCACCCAGCCCAAAACGCGGGGTGGACTCAAGGGCCACCTCCCCAAGGTGAAGACAGACAGCTTCAAGATGCCCAAGGTGGACTTCAAATCACCCCAGTTGGACATCAAGGGCGCTAGTGTGGACTTGGAGTGTTCCAAGGTGACAGTCAGTGGCCCTGACATGGACATGTCTATGGCCAGCTCAAGGGTGGACATCCAGGCACCAGGAGTCTCGCTGGAAGGGGACCTGGGCCTGGGAGACACGGAGGTGACCTCCAGAGACAGCAAGTTCAAAATGCCCAAGCTCAAGATGCCCTCCTTCGGGGTGTCAGGCCTAGGCAAGTCCGCGAAGCCCTTGGTCGAGATGGACGCGTCCCTGCCCCAGGGCCAGGCAGACGTCTCATTGACGTCCATTAAGGGAGACGTCAAGGCCCCGGATGTTAGCTTTCAGCTGCCATTGGCTGAGGTGGACCTCCCGACTGTACAGGTTGGCTTGAGGCTGCCCACAGGGGCAGGCGGGCTGGGTGATGTGGGCAGCACTGCCAGAGAGGCCGTCCCTCCAACGGGGGAGGACCTGCCCGCCCCTGATATCTGTGGCTCAGGCGCTGCGGGTCCAGACCTTCCTTTGCTCCAGACCCGCCCATCAACTGGACTCAGGGAAGTGTCCTCTGCCTCCAAGGCTGTGGGTGGGCGCCGCTCTTCCGCTGACCCCCTGCTGCCCTGTGGCTGGCCTGGAGACGCTGTGACCACCCCCATGGACAGCCCAGAGAGGCCTGTCCCGGTGGAAGAGAGCCGGGCAGACTCGCGGGACAGCTGGTTTCAAATGCCCAGCTTCCGTCTGCCAGGCCTCCGCCGGGGGTCCTCCACGGGGCCTGCTGGGTCCGGGGCCCAGGGAGAGGCTCAGGGGCCGCTGCCCGCAGAGGTTGCAGCCAGAGCAGGGGACGCCCCCGCCGGCGCCGCAGCCGGGAGCCAGGGCATCTGCGCTGTGGGGCGTCGGCCGGCGCCTGAGGCCGCTGCTGAGAAGGCCTCCTACGCCGACGTCCTGCGGCGGCCCGCGGACAGCACCGGCCCGCCCGAGCGCCTCCCCCCTGCAGGGGTGTCCGCTGCTGAGGTCAGGGCGGGCGAGGGCGAGGGCCCCATCCTGCAGCTGCCGCCCATCCCGTGCTGTGCAGGAAGCCCTGGCCCTCGGGGAGAGCCTGGGGAGGGGGTCCCGTTCCCCCAGCTGAGGGCACCGGGGCTCACCTGCCCCGCCCCCCGCCCCAGATCTGTGGTCTCCGTCCCCGAGGTGAGGCCCACGAGGGGCCCGGACGGCCATGTGGACGTCACCCTGTGGCAGGACAGCCCTGGGGGCCGGGGTGCCAGCCCCCCGAAGGCAGGCGCGGGGTTCCCCGCCCAGCAGCCTGTGGACCCGGACCTGCCCTCCGACGCCTCCGGGTCCTCCGGGTCCTCCGTCAGAGCGCAGGTCCGGGCTGCCTGGGGGTGGAGCCCCGCGCTCCCCTCGCCGGACCACAGCCCCCCTGCCGCCGGCCCCTGCGTGGTGCGGGGGGCCCTGATCCCCGCCTCCCCGCTTCAGACGCCTTCCTACGGGTTTTCCCTGCTCAAGGGGAAGATCCCGGAGCCCCCGCCGCGGGCTGGCCTGGGCGTAGGCCCTCCCGACGCGGGGCCCGGGGCGGCTGTGCAGGACGCCTCCTCCGGCCCCGCTGCGGTCAGGCCGGACCCGGGGGAGCCCTTGGAGGTCATCGCCTGCGGCCCCGAGGAACCGGCGCTCCCGCCGCCCAGGCCCGAGTTCCGCCCCGGCCTGCCGGGCGCAGACAGCTGCTCTGAGGAGGAGCCGGCCGAGGTCCTGGCGACCCCCGCGGGGGACAGCGTGGGGGCCGGGGGGCCGGGGGGGCCGGGCCCCGCGGGGGCTGGCGGCGAGTGGGAGACCTGCCGGCCTGCTCAGGCTCTGGTTCCCCAGCTTGGGCTTCAGCTCTACGGAGGAGTCCGGTGCCGCCTCCGGGGCGCTGGCCGGGGGGCCCTGCAGCACAGGCACCGCCGGGGCCACCCGAAAGGCAGGAGCGGGGGAGCTGGTTCAGGCTCCCAGGCTGGGCTTCTCCTCCACGCCGAGCAGGAAGAGCAAGAGCGCCCCAGGGGACGCGGCCGGGCCAAGCCCCCGGAGGAGACGGTCGCCTTCTTTGACGCCCGAGAGTGCTTCTCCCGAGGAGGAGGAGGGGGAGGGGGGGCGAGAGTGGGGCGCCCGTGGTGGCCTCCGCAGCCAGAGCGGAGCTGATCCTGCTGGAGGGGCCCTGCGCCCGGAAGGCCAGGCCTGCAGGCCCATGAGGGCGGGGCTGCCCGCGCCTGCACCCTGCACAGCCCCAGCACCCCGCTGCAAGGCCGGGTCTCCGGTGGGGCGCCCTGGCCGCTCCCCCTGCCCTGAGCCGGGGCGCCCTCATGGAGGGGGGATCTCTGGGGGGCCTGTGGCCACAGGTACAGATGAGGCTCAGCTGTGCCGCCCCTCCCGCAGGCCGCCCTCCGGCCTACTCACGGCTTCCCGGCTCTCCCCCGCCCGCTGAGCGCCAGTGTCCGCAGCGCCTCTGCGGCCTGCACGCCCGCTGCAGGGGCACACCTGCGACCCGCTTGGCTGTCCCCGATGGGCAATAAAGGACATGACCTCCCACAGAGCCGCGTCTTTTGTTCCCGGCCCAGGGGCTTCGAGGGGCCTGTCCCGTGGGCCCTGTGCTCCTCGCGGGCCCGGGAGAGGGCACGAGGCCGGTTAGGGCCCAGGCCGTGATGGGCCCCTGCCCGGCTGCGGGCGGGGTGGTGGATGGGGCCACGGGCCTCCCAGGGGGTGCCTGTGCTCCGAGGGGCTCTCTCCTGGGGACAGAGGCACCTCCACTGCCCGCGCCCTCGGGGAGCGAGGGGCCTGGGAGGAGGCAGCCAGGCGCCGGCTGTGTCTCTGCAAAGGGCCTGTGATTTTTCTTTATTAGGTAAGCTTGGGTCAGGACTCAGTACAGGATGCCAACACACAGGGCCCACCGCACCGCCAGGCGCCCACCACCCTCACCACCGCCCCCGCCTCCCCTTCACCTGCCCTCCCCACACGGCATGGCCCTCGTGTGTCTGGTGGGACGGACGGGCCCAAACTAGGGCTCTGGAGCTCTCTGGAGGGCTCCCCGGTGGGGGCGGCAAAGGGGAAGCTGTGGGGTCGCTGGCTGGCAAGTGAGGGGGTGCAGGCTTGGGCATGGCCCTCCCCTGGCAGGCCAGGGGCCTGGTGTGGAGTCGGGGGCCTGGCGGGGGACAGGGTGCTGGAGGGGGGCCCATTGCGGGGAGCCGCCCAGCGCCGGGCCAGCCCCTCCCCCGCCGCCAGTTATGTCCGCAGGAACAGTCATCGCAGCCGCACGCTGATGACCGCCCAGGGCCTCAGGTCAGGGGCCGGCACAGCTGAGCTGGCCTCACTCAGCGTCCTGTGGGGCTGCTGTTCAGACTGGCCAGGGGAGGGCCGCCAGCCAGGGGCCGGCTGCCCGCCAGGTGCCCGCATAACCTGTGCCCACGCGCGTCCAGCTGCCCAGGCCGGCTTGTCCGCACTCCCGGGGAGGGGGTCACAGGGCATGACGTCCTGGTGGCAGGGGTCACAGGTCCTTCAAGAACGGCAGGGGCTGCATCCAGGGGTCCCCACCCCACCCCGGGCTGCTTCCGAGAGGGCCTGTGAAGCTGCCCCTGCGGGGAGGCGGCCACACCAGGGCGCGTGGAGCACCTCTGGGGGCTGAGGGCCGGGGCGGCCTCCGCGAGACCAGCCGCACACGCAGGCCCGCTGGGGAGGCGGTCCCTGCCGGTGTCAGGCTCCCTGGGCTCAGGCTTCGTGGCGAGCTCGGTGGTCTTGGCCCTGGGGCCCTCGCAGGGGCGGGACCCATGGAGAGGCCGGCAGGACTCCCGAGACTGGGAGGCAGAGCGCATTCAGGACGGGGTGGGGCTGGGGGGGCCTTGGGGCCGGGAGCGGGGTTATGGGGTGGGACAAGGGCGGGGCTGTGGGCGGGGCGGGGCCAGGCTCAGGGGCGGGGCTGTGGCTGGGCGGGGCTGTGGGACAAGGGGCGGGCTGTGGGTGGGGCGGGGCCAGAGGCGGGGCTGTAGCGGGGGTGGGGCGGGGCGGGGCTGTAGCCGGGGCGGGGCCGGGGTGGGGCTGTATCCTGGGCGGGGCCGGGCGGAGCTGTATCCTGGGCGGGGCCAGGGGCGGAGCTGTAGACTGGTGGGGCAGGGGCGGGGCTGTAGCCGGGGCGGGCCAGGGGCGGGGCTGCAGCTGGGGCGGGGCCAGGGGCGGGGCTGTAGCTGGGGCGGGACTGGGCGGGGCGGTATCCTGGGCGGGGGCGGGGCTGTAGCCAGGGTGGGGCCAGGGGCGGGGCTGTAGACGGGCGGGGCTGTAGCTGGGGCGGGGCCAGGGGCGGGGCTGTAGACGGGGCGGGCTGTGGGGCTGGGAACGGGGCCTGTGGGGCGGGGCGGGCAGGCCCGGAGGCTCCGGGAGGCGGGGCTTGAGAAGGGCTGGGCTCCTGGGCGCGGGGACAGCGGCGGGTGGGCTCAACAGCGCCGGGGAGGTCTGTGGGGAGTCGTGTCCAGCGCGAGCCGGGGAGGTTGGCCCTCAGGCGTGCCAGACACAGTCCTGGCCCCGGGCTTGGCTGTCCAGGCCCACGGCGTAGGGGGAGCTCCAGTCCCTCTCGAAGAGCTGGCGCAGCTGCTCCTGCACGGTGGCCACCCCTGGCGGGGTGTGGGAGGCCTCCTGGCTGACCACCAGGCCCACGCCCGCGGTGCTGCTGAAATACTCTTCTGACCAGTTGGAGGTGCCTGTGGGAAGGGGGTGGGAAGGAGGTGCTGGGACATGGGGCTCGCCAAGGCCCCCAGCAGCTCTGCCAGTCCCTTGGCCTCGCCACACCCAGTTGTGCCCCCCCGCCCCGTGCACCCCGCGGCACCTGGGGCAGGTGTCCTGACTCAGTGGTCTGGCGGCCCCGAGCTCCGGCCCCCTTGCTCCTGTGGGGCCAGTGCCAGCTGGGCCGGTGCCTGCGCCTCAGAGCCCGGGGGAGCCCCTGCCCCTCCCCAGCAACCCCTCTGCTCTGAGCAGTCCACGCTGGCCACGGAGCAGTGCCTGTCAGCGCCCAGGCCTGGACGCTGCCTCCCGCGGGTCTGTGGCCTATGTGCCCACGCCTGGGCCCCGCAGCAGATGGAGGGCGCCAGGAGGCTGGCGCGCACCTATGTAGGCCGTCTGCTCGGTGACCAGGAACTTGCTGTGGTTCACCCTGCTGAACGGGATGCTGGAGTGATTCCCCACCGGCACGATGAAGATTTTCTTTGGGAAACAGAGCGGGCAGTGAGGCGGGCGGCCCGCGGCCCACGGCCCCGCCCGCGCCGGGGAGCCGGGCCTCACCACGTCCACCGAGACGCCGGCGGCCGGGTTGCTGAGGGCCTGCAGGGACCGCAGGAAAGGGAACATGCGGGGGTCGGTGTGGAGCCAGCAGCTGACCAGCAGACGCACGCGCACGCCCCGGCTGACGGCCGCTGTCCGCAGTGCGGTGTCCAGCACCGGCCAGTACCTTGGGGAGAGCGGATCAGGGCCCTTGGGGTGAGCAGAGGTCCTGGGAGGAGACGGGCGTCGCCCGCGAGCCGCCCGCCGGCAGATCCGCCTCTGCGTGCCAGGACCCCCGAGCGCCCTTGAAGACCCCAGGGGGCAGCATCCTCCAGGCCCCGCCCATCCCCACCCCCTCCCAGGCCCCACCACCAGGGGCCGGACCCCAGGCTCAGGCCCCACCGCCAGGCCTCCAGGGCCCTCCCCAGGCCCCGGCAGCCCCCAGGCCTCTGCTCCGTGCAGACCCACCTGCTGGGGTGGCTGAATTGTGAGGTGGGGAAATACTCCATGACCGAGGCGTAGAGGAACTCCCGGGCGCGCCCCATCACGGCCAGCAGAGCGTCCAGGTCGCGGGTGCGGCCGCCGGGGCAGAGAGCGGGCGGCGACGCCTGTGGGGCAGAGGCCCCTGAGGCGCACTGCCGCATTGGGGGGCTGGACCAGAGACCCCACCGAGCACCCACCCAAGGAGGGGAGCTAAGCGTTGGCCTGGGTGGCCAGTGTCCTGAGGGAGAGTTCTGGGCTTCGTGCGGCCCAGCGCCCCTGGCTCGATGCCAGGTCTCCTGGCCAGCCACTGGGGGCCGCGGGGGCCGCCTGCCTGGGCCTTTTGCCCACAGAGATGGCTTCCTGGGCCAGAGGGAGCCCTGACCCACCCAGTGTGCTGCACAGCCCTGCCTCCCGGGCAGCCTGCCTCCGGGCAGGCGATGGCCGGTGCTCGTCCTAGAGCCGGGCTGGCCCCTTGCAGGCTCCGAGGCGGCTCCCGGAGGCCCTGCGGCGCGCCGCGCTCCGCGCCGCCCGCCCTTACCGAGAAGTAGGCAGTGGTGGGCACCCCGTCGAAGCGGCCCCGGAGCGGGTGGGAGCGGTTGATGTGGGAGGAGAAGCTCTGAGGCCAGCGTGTGGGGAGCCGGGCCTGCGGCGCCCCCAGCGCCCAGTAGGTCTGGAAGGTCTTCTCCAGGTCCTGGGCCAGGCTGCTGCAGTTGTGCAGCACGGCGCCCAGCTCCTTCACCTGCGGGACAGGTCGGCGGGCACCGAGGGCCGGCGCTGGCGGCCAGCCTGCAGTGTCACCCTGCTGGGGCTGACGGGGGCAGGGCATCGGGTGCCCGGGTGGCCCCTGTTCCCCCAACATCGCATCCCAAAGCTCAGAACAGGCTTATCACCAAGAGCCGTTCAGAATGTGGAAACGCGCACGGGAGCAGGACGGCCCGGCGCGGCCAGCCGCAGCTCAGCGTGCGGCCTTCTCCAGGCCTCCTGGGGCGGCGCCTGCCCGCGTGCCACAGCTGCGGGGCCTCGGGCGCAGGCCTGACCCACCTGTGTCAGGGACCGCCAGTCCATGTTGGCGCTGCCCACGTAGACATGCCGGCCATCCACGACCCAGAACTTGGAGTGCAGGACGCCCCCTGTGAGCTGCCTCATGGGCACCTGCCGCACCTGGGCCCCTGGGGAGGGCAGAGCCCGGCTGAGCCCCATCTGACCCCAGACGGGCGGTCCCCAGACCCACCTGCCAGGGAGAGCCGGCATGGTGACTGCCTGCTAGGCGGCCACTGCCAATGCGTGCCACCAGCTGGCTGCTGGGGGGGCTCCCTGGGCCTCCCCTGCAGGTCAGGGCAGCCGGGCTTGTCCCCAGGCCCCTCTGCTCCGCCCGTGGAAGCAGCCCGGTCTGCCCCTTCGGGGGGCTCATGGCACAGAGGCCACCTTGGTGTCCCGGGGGAGCAGGGGCCTTGGCCCGCGGGCACCCACCTTGGGCTGCCAGCACCTGCAGGTCCGTGGAGTCCCTGACCAGCGCAGGCTTGCTGGTGACCACGGCCAGAGACACGTTCCTGGCCAGCAGCTGCTCCAGCCTCTGCAGGAGTCCCTCTCCCTGTGGCCGGGGCAGCCGTGAGCGATGGGCGGGCCCCAGAGGGCCCCCAACCCCCTCCCCCGCCCACAGTTCAGTCGGGCAGCGGCGCCCAGGGCAGGGTGGGGGGCGGCAGCCTCAGGGGCCCAGGCCGAACCAGCTGTGAGGACGAGTCGTTGACGCCGACGTCCCGCCCCGTGAGGGACCAGTAGAAGGAGGCCACATGGATGTGCTCCTGGGCGGCGTCCAGCAGCTGCAGCCAGGCCTGGGCCAGGGGCTGGGCGGCCGGGCGGCCGGCAATGGGCGGCAGGCCCTGGGGGGTGCTTTCCACGAGCACCAGCCTGCAAGGGGTGTGGCCGCTGTGAGAGCCCGAGCCACCCCCTCTGGGGGCGGGGGGCGGATGGGGCGCCGCTGCTCATGTGGTCCCAGGCTGAGCCCAGGAGGACACGCGGAGGGTCGGGTCCCCAGGCGGGCCGGATGGCCTGGCTGAAGCCCGGGGAGGCCCCACCCGCCCTGCCCCTGGGGCTGTCTGCAGTGGCGCCAACCAGGAACAGGCTGGGGGAGCTGGACACCCCTGGGCCGCGCTAGGGTCCCAGGGCGGACGGAGGCAAAGTACGGCCTCCTGCTGGGTTCCACAGCCGGGCGCAGGGGCTGTGACGGGCACCCCGCTCCCGCCCCCCCCGCCCCCACCCCCCATCCCGGCCCCGGGGCAGCCTGCGCTCCAGGCAAAGAGCACCTGGCGGCTCCGTTCCTGCCCAGCCCCGCAAGGGAGTCGAGGGCCCCACGCCCAGGCTCCCCGCCCCCACCCCAGGGCGGGGAGCGAGCATCAGACGGGCCAGGGACCCCCGCCGGCCAGGGGCACTCACCTGCAGGCGTCCGGGCTCCCCGGCGGGCTGAGGTCAGGGCGCGTCTGGCCCCCAGGGGGAGCAGGGGCGCTCGCCGCAGGAAGCAGGTGAGAGTCAGGGCGCCCAGCCACAGCACGGCCAGCGCCCTCAGCACCTGCAGCTGGACAGAGGCCCCGGCCGGCCGCGCTCAGGGGAGGGGGCCGGGGCCCCGGGCCGCCCCTGCGCTGCTGCGGCCACGCCTGCCTGGCGGTCCTCCCAGGCCCCCAAGACGGAGGGGTGCGGGCAGGGGAGCCCCGGCCTCCCAGCTGGTGGTGTCCTGGCCACTCTGACCAGGCCCGCGAGGCTGCCGCGCTGCGGCCCCGGCCCTGCGGCTCTGTCCACGCGTGGGCCGCGGGTGGCGCCGAGGACGGCCCTGGACACGGGTGGGCGGGCAGCCTGACCCCGGCGCCCCTGGCGAGCGCGCGTGCACGTGCCTATGGAGGCGTGTGTGCCCGCTTGGGTGTGCGCGTGTGCTGGTGTCTTGCACGCGTGTGTGTGAGCTCGTGTGCCCCCTCCACCATCAGGGGCAGGTGGCTCTCCCGGCCCAGTTCCTGTTTCGGCCGCACCGCAGGCGCCCGCCCCACCCGCCTCCTCCCCTGGGTCTGGTTCCGCCTGGCACAGCTGCCCCCGCCTGAGCTGGCCCTGCCGCCTGCCCGCGGCTCACTCACACGGGGAGTGGGGGTGCTGGGCAGCCCCGGGGTGCAGCACGAGCCAGGTGCTCCCCAGCTCGGTGGCCCTTCCTGGGGAGGGGACCCCGCCTCTGGGGAGACATCCTCAGGGCTCACTCCCAAGTGGAAGCCCTGGGGTGTCCTATGGGCCACAGGGCTGCCCCGCCCGGCGGGCACCTGCAGGAGTCACGCTGCGGGGCGCTGTGCTGCGCGCCTTGGGGGCCGCGCTCAGGGTGGAGACAGTCGCCAAGAGAAGCAGAGGCGGAGAGAGACGGGGAGAGACGGGGAGAGACGGGGAGAGGGAAGCCAGAGAAGCCCAGAGTGAAGACTTGCCGGGGCTGGGGGGCCTGCCGGCCTCCCCGCCCCCCCACGCCCGGCCGCCGCGCGCCTGCTCGCTGCACCGCGTGTAAAAGCGCGACGAAACCCGAGAAAGGCACGGAGGGCCCCGGGACCTCCTCTACCCTGCTCTGCTCGCGCCATGCAGAGCCGCTCTGTGCTCATCCTGGCACTGCAGCCTGCCTCGGCATGGGGGGGGGGGTGCCCCAGAAGCAGGGCCTGGGGCTGTGCCCCCTCAGAGCCACCCCCTCCCTGCTGGGGGGTTCCCCCAGAGGGGGTCAGGGTACCTCCCCACCCCACCCCACAGAGGGGGTCAGGGTCTCAAGGAGGACCCCCGCCCCCACAGATCCAGCTCAGACCGTTGAAGAGCTCCCGTGCCCCCTCAAAGCCCACCTGGGCGGGGACTGCCCCCTCCCCACCACCCCGGGAGGGGACCTGGGCCAGGCTCAGGCCCACAGTGAACGGACCTCCCAGACCCTCACTAGGGGCCGTGGAGGCTGCTCAGCGGGGAGTCCTGGGCAGGGCCAGGAGGGCCTGGGGCACCCTTGGGGGCTGACCACCTGGGAAGGACCTCACCCCACAAGTCTGGGTGGACAGGTGGGACACTGTGCAGCAGGTGGGCGCCCAGCCCTGGCGCTCACCTGTTCACCCTGCACACCCCTGCAACCCGAGCCTGGGGGCTGCCTGGCCAGGACGCCCCTCCAGGGCCACACCCAGGCAGCGACAGTCTGGAGCCCCAGCTCCAGGGCTGAGGGGCACGCTCCTGCTCTGGGGAGTCCCAGGCTGGGCCAAGGGGCTGCTGTCAGCTCACCGGGAGACGAGAGGTGCCAACTCCCAGCTGCCAGTGCTGGGAAGAAGCAGAGCAGCTTCCGGCTGCAGGGGTGGTGCCCTCGGGTAGAGGGGTGCTGCAGTCCCCGGCCCCGGGAAAGGGACCCCCACTTTCCTGGCTTCCACTCTCCCAGGTTCCCTGGCACTTACCTCTGGGGATCCAGTGTTAGTGCCCATCCTGACCCAGCCACGGACTGGCCCTCGGTTCATGGGCCCCGGCAGCGGGCGCCCACCCTGCAGCCTGCCGCCTTCCCTCGGGCCACCTCCTCTCTGCCCCAGCTCCACCCTCCCAGCCACAGACATCTGGAGGTGGGGGGCCAGCAAGGGGTGTGGCTGACAACTTTCACTTCCAGAGGAAGTTCCTTCCCTCCCCCCTCCCCTACCCCCCACCCCCCCCGCCGCAGGCCTAGGTGGTGGAGTTAGGCTGGTGTGTGCCAGGCCTCCCGCCAGCAGGGTTTGAGGGAGACTCTGCCACGTTGCAGTCTGGGGGAGGCACTGGGGCAGTCTGGCCCGCGCTCAGCTCCCAACTCCTCAAGTTGACTGGCAGCCTCGTGGCCCCAAGGTGGCTGCTGGCACGCAGCCATCACCTCCATGTTCCTAGCTGCAAGCAAGGAGCATCCCAGAGACACCCTGGGGGCCCCACCAGCACGTGCGCTGCTGGGGAACTCAGTCTTATGACAGCTCCGAGCTGCCAGGGAGGGTGGGAAGTGCTGGGACCTCATCCTGGACTCACACGCAGGCCCTCGTGGGCCTGAAGACGCAGGAGGGACTAAAGTTTGCAGGTGCACAGCTCCAGTTCCCTGAAAGGGGCTCTGCCTCACTCCAAGTGGACCCCCCATATATGGGGCCTACTGCCCCCAGACTGGGACTCCTACAACAGGTCCTCACTTCCCTTGTGGCCTGCCAGGACACCGTCCAGGGTTCTGACCTCAGGGGCCATGGGTCAGGGCTCACACAGTGAGCCGGGTCCACCCACTGAGCCTGATGAGGGCCCTGGGGCCAGTGTGGTGGCCTGGGAAGGGAGTGGGGGTGAGTGTCCCGAGAACCCTTCATCACCCTGGATGCCCTCCCCTGTCTGGGGGTGCTCGTCCTGACCACCTCTGCTCTTAGGGATGACCAGCATGCAGACAGTTGCTCTGTTAGTCTGTCCCTGCCCCTCTCCTTGGCCTGTTCAGCCCGGGCCACACGCAGCCCACACGGGCCCTCACCTCAGGGCGCTGCAGGCCCCGCCATGCAGCCAGCTTGCACTCCCAATGCGGTGGGGGGCCCTTCCTGAGCACTTGGCGGTGGCCACCTCCCACCCACAAGCCCCTCCTATTCTCCTGGCTTGTGGCCACCGTGGGTCTCAGCCCAGCCCTGAATTCAGGTGCAGCCAGGGGGCTGGGGGTCCAGCCACACAGTGCCCCCCTGGAAAAGCCATGGTCCCCCCACCATGACCAGTGTCCACAGTCCTCTCCTCTGTTCTCGGAGCAGAAAGCAGCTTCACAATTTATTTAAAATTGTCGTGAAGATTTTGCACTTTCAGAGCAGTTTTAGGTTGACAGAGAGCTAAGAGGGGCAGGAGCAGACCCCCCTCACCTCCGGGCCCCCAGCTCTCCAGACGAGACATGGCTGCGAGGGCCACCCTGCCCGGTGGGGCCCCCAGTTCAGAGCGATTCCCGGACTGCGGGGTCTGATGCCTGCCACTCGGGGCAGGGGGCTGGGCAGAGGCGCACAGGGCAGCCGCCGCCTCTCCCCGGGCCGGCCCAGGGACAGAGCAGGGGTGGCGCAGAGCTGGGGCAGCCGGGGGTGGCGTGCCCCTGAGAGGCAGCAGGCCGGGCGGCGGGCCTTGGCTCCCACGGCCGCTCCCGAGGGCCGAGGTCTGCCTTGTCCTTTCTGGAAGTTTGTCCCTGGCGTGTCTGCACGGCTGCCCCCTGGCGGCCACGCCTGTGCCCTGCAACGCCCAGTTTCGGGGTCTAATGGACGGGGCTCCCGCGAGTCCCCACAGCCCCTGCTCTCGCCCGGCGGAGCAGAGAGGACACGCCAGGCGCCAGGTTGCGACGTGATAGAAGAGTGATTTATTAGAACAAATCTATGATAAATCATATAAAATAACCATTTTCTGAAAGACGTGGTGAGGCCTGCGGGTGACGCGGGAGCCCCAGGCGGGGCCGGCACCGCCACCCCCACGCGCACACGGCACGAGCCTGCACCCGGCGCCTCCATGTAAACACCGCCGCCCCCGCGGGACGCAGGGCGCTGGACCGGAGGGGCAGCGCCCACCCGCCACAGGCGGCCCCCGGCCCACGGCCAACCAGCTCTTTGGCTTCTGGGCCCCTGCGTTTGGCCGCGAGGCCCCGCTCAGCTCCCCTGGTAGGTCCCCACAGACGGATCCTGAGAAATTGGGACTGTCCCCCCTCCCGTGGCTGCCCAGGCTCAAGGCCATGGTGCCGGGACAGAGCAGCAGAGACCGTGGCCGGAGCTTCCAGAAGCTGCTTTCCAGCCGCTTTGGCGTAGCCCTCGCCTCCCAGTCCCTGGGGCCACCCAGGACCGGGACGGGGCCACCTGCCCAACCCCACGAGGCTTCACAGGAATGGGCTACTGACCAGTGTGCCCCAAGCTCAGTGGGGGCCTCGCAGGACACCCCAGAGCGCGAGGCTGCAGGTCCCGCCCCAATGTCCACACGGTCACTTCTTGGCCGGTCGCTGGGTCTAGGGGGGGTTTGGCACTGAACAACCCCAGGCCCAGCCCACCTGCTGACGGGGCAGGTCAGGCCAGTGCCTGGGGCCTCCGGGCAGAGCGCCCCCCAGGGAGGCTGTGATGGCACCGACTCTTTCCTTTAAAGCTAACAACAAAAATAACAGAGATGGAAAGGGGGGGATGGAAGGGGTGGCCCTGGGGGCAGATGGAGGGGCGGGGCGCAGGCCCACCCCTGGGCCCTTGGGGATGGCCACAGCAGGAGCTGGGCCAGCAGGACTGGGGGCAGGGTGGGGGCTGGACCCTGGTGGGTGCTGGCGGGGGCTGAGGAGGGGCTGGGTGGCGGTGTGGCCCCAGGTCATGGCACGCGGGGTCTGGGGGGGTGAGCCAGAGGGAGGGTGGCAGCAGAGGGTGTGCGGAGCCGCCAGGGCCGCCTAGATCAGGAATCTCTCTGCGTCTGGAAGGAAGTCAGGGAGGAAGGCGGGGTCCGGGAGACCAGGGGACCCGCAGTTGGCCCGCGGATAGCCCCTGAGGGCCAGGGTGGGCAGCAGGGTGTCGGCCACGGCGGGCGAGGATGGGCTTTGGGCTGCGGGCCTGCCCTTCCCCGCCTGGGCTGAGCTCAGGCGGCCCTGGTTTCCGGTCAGCAGGTCCAGGTTCCCACTGGGGTCCACGATGGCGTTGATGACTGGGGGGCAGGGGGCCAGTGACTCCGAGGCCTTCCCCGGCCCTGCTGGTCACGGGCTGAGCCCCCCAGCCCCGCTCGCCCTGCCGCCCGGTGGCACGCACCCAGTGGCACCCACCTTCCAGCTGCTTCTGCACCCGCCTCAGTTCCTTCAGGATGGAGCTGATCTCCTGGAGGGGCGGGAGGGGCGCGTGGAGCGGACCGCGGGGGGGCCCCGTCCCCGCCCCCCCCCCCGCCCCCGCAGAGCCGCTGCCCACCTTGTTGGATGTCTTCAGGATGGGCACCTCGTTCTCGGCGTTGATCCTGGCCTCCAGGTCCTCCCATGCCCGCCCCGAGTTCTGGAAGAGGACCCTGCCGGCCGGGGCGGCCAGAGGACGGTCAGGGGCGCCGGGCAGACCCCACGCCCGCGCGAGCTGAGGCCGGAGCTCGCCGGCCGGGCTGGCTGGCCATCGGCCCCCGCGCCGCCCGCTGCGCGGCCCACTCACTTCATCTTCTCCGCCAGGTGCTCCGTGTTCTCGCGGATGGCCTGGGACAGCTGGGACACGGGGTTCAGCATCAGGTTGTCGAAGATCACCTGGGGAGGCGGGCGTCAGCGCAGGGGCCGCAGCCCCGCCCCGCGCAAGCCCCGCCCCAACCCGAGCCCCGCCCCAACCCGAGCCCCGCCCCGTGCGAGCCCCGCCCCAACCCGAGCCCCGCCCTGCGTGAGCCCCGCCCCCAACGCCCGCCCCAAAACAAGCCCCGCCCGTGTCCAGGCCCCGCCCCGGGCCCCGCCCCACGCCTCCAGGCCCCACCCCAGGCCCCGCCCCGCGCCCCGGGCTCCTGCCTCCTCGCGGCTCCGGGCCGCGTCCTGGGGGCCGCGCCGTCCTCCTGGCTGCTGTTCATGTTCTGGTCCAGGCCCCGCGAGCACAGGGCGCCGGGCGGCACCTTCTGGAAGTTGAGGCTGGCCTCCGGGATGCGCTGCACCAGCTGTGGGGCGGGCGGGCTGGTCCACCTGCTGGCCGCCGCCCGCGCCCAGGGAGCAGCGCGGGCGGGACCCCGCCGCCCGCCGCCCGCGCCCGCCCGCGTGTCCGGGCCCGCTCACCTCCTCGCGGGCTGAGATGGTCGAGGCGGGGGTGCTGGGCACGGTGCTGAGGGAGGGGCTGCGGGAGGGCCGCGGGGAGCCCAGTGAGTCCCCGTCTCCAGCCACATCGTGGATCTCCCGGGCCAGGATGGCCACGTCCTTCACCAGCGTCTGGCTCAGCCTGCCGCCCGCGGGGAGGAAGCAGTCCAAGCCCCGCCGGGTGGGGGGCAGCACCGCTGGCCGCCCCTCCCCCACGCCCCCAGGGCAGCCGCCCGAGGGGCAGCCCAGGGGCCTGGCCCAGACTGCCCAGCCAGCCCCGCCCCGCCCCCCACCGCCTGCCCTCTGAGCCAGCACGCCTTCGGGAGCCCCCGAAGAGCCCCCAAGCTGGGCTGGTCCAGGGGACTCGGCCCGTGCTCACCGGGCAATCTCGGCGATCTCCGCTGTCTGCACGATGAAGCCGTAGGGGTCGGCCTCCTCCTCGTCGTCCGTGTCGCGGGGGCCAGGGCCACGGGCACAGGGCCGCCCGCAGCTGCCCACGCGGGGTGTCTGCGTGGCTGCTGAGGCCCGGGCACGGCCGTGTTTGGGGGAGCCGTGGCGGGAGCCGTACTCCTCCTCGGAGGTGGACGTGCAGTCGGAGCCCTGCTGCCGGCGACGCGCACCTGGGCCACGGAAAGGCGGGGGGGACAACAGCAGCGCTCAGGGCCCAGTGGTCAGGCCCCGGGGCTGGCCACACGCAGTGGACGCCCCTCCTCAGGTGTCCTTGTGCCCAGCTGGGGCACATGTGGGAGGGGGGTAGCCAGGGTTGGGGTCCAAGGGGTCCACGCCTCGGATGGACACCGGCACCCCCCTTCACGGCGGCCAGTGGTGCCCAGCAGCTGCCCTAGAGAGAGAGCCTCCCGGGGCTGCACCGGCGTGAATGGGCCCAGTAGCCTTGCCCCCATCCACCCAGGGGCCCCGCACCGGCAGGCAGGAGGAGCCTGTGGCACTGGGGGCCCAGTGGGGTGCAGGCAGGGTTGGGGAGGTTGGCAAGAGCAGCTGCTCAGGCTGGGCCAGCAGCCCCTACACCTCAAACCAATTCACTTGGATGATGGGTTGGCCCCAGGGGAGGGCAGCCACCCCGGGCAAAGGCCAGCTCCAGCGCGACACAGAGCTTGGCCGCACAGGGTTTCCACCCTGCAGAGGCTGGCACAGACCCCACTGTAGGGCCCGAGTCCCTCGTGGAGCAGCACAGGGCCAGGCCCCCAGCCCCATGGTGGACGGCTGGACCTGGACCTGACCCGCCAGCGGTTGGGCCCCGCCCAGAGAGCAGGACCCAGGGAGGAGGGGCGGCCACCCAGTGCCCACAGCCACCCTGGCCCCAGAGATGGAGTCTGTGCCTGGCCTGGAGGCAGTGGGGCTTCTGCCTCCTCGCCGGGACAGCCGGGAGCCTAGTGGCCCCACAGAGTGCCCCCCGCTTCGGGAACGGGGCCCCGCAGGCCCCTAGCCGGCTCCTGGCTGACACAGGCAACTGCAGCCCCCCGCCCCACTCCCGGCACTCACTGGAGGAAGAGTACCGGGCACTGCCCGGGCGGGCCCTGCTGAAGGGCTGGCGGGCGGCCGGGGCCGTGGTGCCGGTGGTCTTCCTGGCGGTGGCCCGGGCCTCGGCTACATTGGGCCTCCGGCCGGGGCAGCATAGCTCCACGCTGCGGCCAGAGAAGCCAGTGCGTGCAGGCAGCGGCTCCGAGTCGCTGGGCCCTGTGAAGGAGCCGGCCCGCTTCCGGGGCATGGCCAGGATGTCCAGGCGCGAGAGCTTCTTGGTCTGCTCGGCGGCCGGCCGGCCTGCCGGCTCAGGAGGGGCCAGGGGCCCCCGCTCGCCATCCGCGGCCTCTGTGTCCGAGGTGTCCCCCAGTCGGGCTCGCCTCAGCCGGGACGCCCGCGTGGGCCGGGGGGTTGACAGGCTGTTGGAGCGGGTCAGCAGCTGCTGCACCTTCTGGCTGCTGGCAGAGCCGCGGCCCTGTTCCTCCCGGGCGGCCGGAGACGGCGGTGGAGCCGCTGGTTTTCGGCGAGGCCCTGGCCGCCCTGCCCCGGGGGCCTCGGGGTCAGAGGTGACCAGGTCTGAGCCCGAGGGGTGGGTCGGGCCACTGCCACGTTCCTCGTCAGGCCAGTCTAGGGAACCCCGGGGCCCAAGGCCACGCCGCCCAGGTGGGCGCCGTCCAGGCTCCCCACGGACCGCGTCCGGCGGGCAGTGCTGTTTCTCCGAGAGCCGCTCCTGGGTGCAGTTGGGGGCAGTGCCCCCGGGGGACGGCGCCGCGGGTAGGGCTGACCGCATGTCCTTCAGCAGCCCCCCAGGCTGGGGGGTTGTGGGGCTGGGCCCATTCTTGCCGCTGAGCAGGCTGACAGTGCTGGCCGTGTCCACATCGGAGTCCCCAGACAGAGAGTCCTCTGGCCGCCGCAGGGTGCTGTCCAGCTCGCCCTCCGCCTCCCCCGCCGACCTGGAGAGCAGTCGGGCCTCCAGGGCCGCCAGGGCTGTCTCTGTGTCTTTCAGGATCAGGTGGGTGTCCTGGGAGTGCAGGTCCATGCGAGCTGCCCGGGCCGCAGCCAGGTCCTGTAGGAGTGGGTGGCTGGAAATGTGTGGGAGCTGGCCGGGAGCCGGGGGGCCGCTGCCGGGGTCCTTGGTGAAGCTCTCCTGCCGGACGAAGGCCAGGGCCTCCCTGGGTGGGGCCGGGGCCTCAGGCTCTGGGGACCGAGCCGTGCGAAGCTGGATGACCATCCTCCCGCTGGTGCTCACGTAGATGCTGTCCCGAGCAGGTGGGCCCTGCACGTCCCCTGGGGCCACAGTGGGCTTCACAGCGCAGGCCGCTTCCCCGTTCTGCTCTCCAATGAAGAAGGAGGTGGGGTCGGGCTCCCCAGAACCCCTCGGGGAGTGCTGGCCCCTGGTCCACGCAGGGCCCTGCTGGGGGCTCTTGTGTCGCTCCTCTTGCGGGCCCCCTCCCAGCTCGGGCCCTCGCCCGCCGTCTGAGCCGCTGGCGTCACTGAGGCTGTCGGGCTCCAGGTCCTCCTGGCCCACGGGGTGGCCGGCCTGCTGGCTGACCGGCTCTGGGGGCCCCAACCCGCTCCTCCTGGAGGCCTCAGAGCCGGCAGGGCTGTCAGTTCTCTCGCTGGGGAGCGGGGGGAGCAGGCGCCGCTGGCGCACCGGCAGGACCCCATCCAGTTCCGCGCCCCTGCGTCCAGTGCCGTCCTCTACGGAGTAAGGACTGCCGGTCAGTGTGGCCGCTGGCAGGCCCTCCGCCAGGAAGGCCACGCGAACTCACTCAGCCCGCTGGGTCCCGATGCAGCACGGCGCTGCTTACCTGACTGGCCAGGGTCAGAGTAGCTGTCCGCCAGGCTGGCCCAGCGGGACGCCCACTTCTGAGCCCCAGGAGAGCCCGGTCCCGGAAGGCCCTGCAGAGAGGAGGACAGGAGCGGTCTGCAGCCAGAACCTGATGGGCGGACCTGGCAACACCCGCCACTGCCTGGCCCCACCCGCCTCCTCTGGGCTGCGGGTGCTCCCCGGCGCCGCCCCTGGCCCCAGCAGCCTGACACATGGCCACACCTGCCTGGGCTCGGCTGGAGGGCCACAGCATGCCCTCCCTGCCCGAGGCAGCCGCCCGCCCAGGGCACAAAGGGGTCTGCCCTGCACAGACAAGGCCTCTGGACACAGAAGGGCCCCCAGGGTGGCCCACCGCTCCACACCTGGAGATCCCCCTGGGGCGCCATGCCCCCAGGCCGGGAGGCCAGCTCCTGCAGCAGGGCCAGCCGCTGGGCCGTGCTATCAGCAGTCTCATCTCTGTCCCCGCCGATGACTGGGCGGAAGGTGGCTGAGGATGCCCTGGAGAGCTCAGGGGACTCCAGGACCCCAAAGACCTGTAGGGAGGCAGGGCAGGCCCTTGATTCTGACGCTGGCAACAGGCCGCACCCCCACACAAGCCCCATCCCCAGCACAGGCCTCACCCCCAGCACAGGCCCTACCCCGGGCACAAGGCCCTCCCCGGCTGGCACACGCCCCACCCCTGGCACAGGCCCCACCCCGGGCACAGGCCCCACCCCCGGGCCCCAGGCCCGGACCCAGCGCAGGGCCGCCCACCTGGTCGATCATCTGGCGGGCCTCCTCCACCTCCGGGTCCTGCGCCTCCGTCTCGATGGTGTAGGTGCCCGCGTCGCTGAGGCTGTCGTCCTCCTCCTGCCGGGGAGCCTTGCTGAGCAGGGGGTCCGCAGGGGCTGGCGGCGGGGTCGAGGGAGCCACGGGGCTGGCCCCACGGGGCGTCAGGGGGGCGGGCAGCACCGGGGGCACCTTCTCCGCGCCAGGCCGGGCCCCGGGGGAGCCCTCCCGCAGACACTGCGCCATGAAGTCCTGGGCCAGGCGCGAGCGGCGCCCCACGCTGCCGAAGGCGCGGGCGGCCGCGCGGGGGGCGGGCGAGGTGCTGCCCAGACGCTCCTCGGTCTTCTCGCGCTTGAGGGAGCTGGCCCGCTGCGGCCCGGAGCTGCCCGCCGCCCGGGCGGGGGCTGGTGCGCCTGGGCGGTCCCTGTCGGCCGGCCCGGGGGCGCGCCGCCTGTCGGCCCTGGGGTCCCCCGGCGGGGTGTGCGTGAAGGACTGGGAGCGCTTCTTGCGCGGCGTGTCCTCGTCGAAGAACTCGATGACAAAGGCCTGCTGGTTGTGCAGCAGCTCCTGGGGGTCCCGCTTGAGCTGCCGCTGAAGCCGGACCTGCTCCCCGCCGCCGTCCGCGGGCACCCCCGCCGCCGCGGCCGCCTTGGCCAAGGGGTCCTCCGAGTCGCTCTGCGTGCCGTCCTGGTGCTTGTGACCTGGGCAGGCAGGGGACCCGGCCGTCAGCCTCGCAGGGTCCGCGCTGCGTCCCAGCGGCCGTGGTGCGCCTGGGCACGCGCTGCCCGCGCCAGGCTGAGCGGGAGCCCCGCGCACTCACCGCGCAGCGTGCGGCTATGAGTGGGCAGGTCGCTCTTGGTGCTGTGCCGGTCGTCCCCGGGGCAGGCCCGGCACAGCAGGCTCGGGTCGTTCTGCACCAGCCAGTCGGCCACCTTGGTCTCGGCTGAGACCACGTCCCCGGGTGTGGCCTCCCGGCAGGGCCGCCGCGGGCGCAGGGAGAACTTGGTGACGTGGTCCTTGATCTTCACCTTGCCGGGGCTGCCCTCGTCAAACTCGATGGTGAAGGAGGCGTGGCTCTGCACCACGGGGCCCCCGCCCGCGCCGGGGGGCTCATCCTTGGTGGGGGCCTCGTGTGCCGGCGCCTCGGGGGCCCGGGGCTTGGGCGGGGCCTCCTTTGTGGGGATCTCGAAGTAGCTGGGCTCCCGCCTGAAGGAGCAGCCCAGCGGCCCGGCGGGGGTCCGGGGGCCGCCCAGCTCCCCAGCCAGCTGGTCCAGCTCCTTGGGGCGCTCTGTGGGAGAGACCGCCTCAGGCCAGGGTGGTGCCCCTCCCCGCCCACCTCTGCCAGGGCCACCTCCAGCACCCACCTGGGTAGAGGTCCTCGGGGCGCTGCTCCTCGGGTGGGGTACCGCCGTCGTCCTCGCCCCACCAGGAGGGCTGCCCGTACAGGGGCGTGCGGTAGGCCGTGGTCTCTGCCCGGAAGACCCCGCCCTGGTCACTGTGGCCCAGCGTGGTGGGAGGGCCGCGGAGACGCTGCACCCCAGGGAGGCCGCACAACATCCCAGCTTCCCCACGCGGCGCCCAGGGCCCCAGCCAGTGACCACGCCCAGCCCCCCCATCAAGCCCACAGGGCGTGGTGAGTGTCAAGAACCCCACCCCCAGGATTGGCTGCTGGGTGCTTTGCTGGGGAGCTGCACCCTCAGCAGCCCTCTCCAGGGACACGCGTGCCTTCTGCCGGACCCCAGCCTCGGGGCACTGCGCTACCTGCTGCGGGCCGGCGGTCCCCTCGCTCGGGCCTGGGGTTCGAGGACTCGCAGTACGGGGCATGCTCTGGGGGGGTCTCGCCGCGCGTGGGTGCCGTGCCCTGGACGCTCACCTGCAGCTGGCTGGTGTACTTCTCGTGCTGTGGGCGGCCGGGGTGAGGGGGGCAGGTGGGAGGGCCCCCCGCGGCCCCCTCTGCACCTCCCTTCAGCCACAAAGCTTCCTATAGGGAGCTGGGCTGGTGTGGGGCAGAAGCCAGGAAGGGGACCCCAATCACTGAGGGGGGCGCCCCAGGCAGGGGTTCAGGGCACGGGTTGAGGGCAGGGGGAGCCAGGCCCCTCCGAGCAGCGCACCCACGGGTGTGTGCACATGTGGATGTGTGTGGGCACGCAGGTAGGTACATGTGTACAGGCATGGTGTGTGTGGGTGTCATGGGTGTGCGTGTGTAGGCGTGTGCATGGATGGGAGCACACATGTGCACATGGGTGTGTGCGTAGTGTATGCGTGTCTGCGTGTCACACGGGTGTGCACATGCGTGTAAATTCGTGCACACACTTGCCTTTGTGCACACACAAAAATACCTTTGTGTCGCGCACAGGTGTGCGTGTGCACACACATGTGCTGGTGCATGCACAAATGCATGCCAGGAGTGTGTGCAGCCTTGGGTGCGTGCAGTGTTGGGCGCATGCATGGGTGTGGCCAGCTGGGTGGCCCACCTGCTGGAGCTGAGGTGGGCAGGGCCTGGCTGGGGCTGGCCTGTCCCTCCCAGCCCTGTGTCTCCGGGCAGCCACCCGCGCCCCCTGTGCTAGGGCAGGCTCTGGACGCGCACCCCCGGCCGCTGCCCCCCGCCCCGCGCACCGACAAGCACGGGGAGAGGCACCCCCCGGTGGCAGGGCCCCCAGGGCCCCCACCAGGCTGTCACCATGCCCTGCCTGCCCGATGGCGGCAAGGGGCCTGGTCACCATCCTCTCTGGGGCCCAAGGTGCGCCCTCCAGCCAGGGTTGCCAGCGGCCCCTCCCCGGGGCAGGCCGTAGGCGGGCGGGCGGGCGCGGGCACTGACCCGTAGCGCCTCCTCAGGGACGCGGTGCTGCACGCGCTCCAGCACGTACATGTTGGCATGTGGCCGAGTTAAGGAGAAGCGGCGGCCCCGGGAAGGACGCGCCCCGCGCAAGCAGGTCAGGACCAGGGCGCCTGCGCGCTCGCTCGGGCCTGCCCCGGCTCTGCCCTCGCTGCAGGGAGGACGGGCCCAGCTGCCCGGCCGTCCGGGCCCGGCCTGTCTCCCCAGGCTCAGGCGGGGAGCCCGAGGCGCCCCCACAGCGAGGGGCCCACCCGCCAGCCCGGGGAGGGCAGGGACGGAAGGATATCGTAGCCGAAGCGGATGACGTCATTGAGCTTCAGCGTGACGTACTTCTGGTCGGGGATGCGCACGTCATTGACGAAGGTCTGCGGAGGAAGTGCTGGAGGAAGCCCGCGGGCCGCGGCCTCCTGTGTCCGGCCTCGCGGGAAGGGCGAGCACGTCCCTGCAGGGCGCGCCCACCCGCGCTGGCCCCACGCCCCACGCCCCTGGCGGCCAGGCCCGGCCCGGCAGTGCACCCGGCCGCGCCCTCAGCAGCCCTGCAGGCCCAAGCTGGCCGGCGGGACCCTGGGCACGGCGCAGGTGGAGCGCGCGGGGCAGGGTCCCGGGGCGCTGGCAAGAACAGGGGCCAGTGGCGCGGGGCCTGGCTCAAGCCTGGGGACCCGGAGGGCAGCCGCGGGCCCCTGCAGGGGGTTTCCCAGGATCCCCTCGCGGTCCAGCACGGGGTCTGGGGCCCAGCAGGGAAGGGTCTCCGGGTCGGAGGGGCTGGGTGGGGAGAGGGGTACGGTGGCCCGACACCGAGGAGGGCCCTGGCTGGGGGTGCTGTGCTGCAGCGGGCGGGCGGACACTCACCCCGTTCAGGCTGCCCAGGTCCTTCACCCAGTGCTCGTCCCGGCCCTGGTCGTAGTTGATGACGGCGTGCTGCTTGTCCACGCTGCGGGACTGGGCAGACACAGAGGCCTCAGAGGCCCTCCCAGCCGGCCGGGACAGGGCCCGCTGCAGAAGCCCCTACCGCAGTCGGCACCAGTGCTGGCCCCACCCCCACACCTGTGTGTGCACCCCAGGAAGCCCTCCCAGGCCCGGCCGGCCAGCTGGCCCCACTGCCAAGACAGGCCTGTGGCTGCGGAAGACGCCGAGGGGGTTCCTCACTGGCGCCCCCTGCCCTCACGACCCCCCAGCCCTGCTGCAGGCATGGGCGCCCCCCAAGGGCAGACAGGGTGGATGGGAGGTCAGGAAGAAGCTGCCCCTACAGAGCCCCCAGCCCGGCTGCAGGAGCACACACAACCTCTCTTCACACACGTGTGCACACAGGCAGGAGCCCTCGCACACACACTGTGCACACGGCTCCTCCGCTTGGGACATGTCAGACCCTCCGCAGCCCCCCAGGACCCCTCACAGGTCAGCTGGGCCCAGCCTCCCGCCACTGGGCTGGGGGACACGGCGGGGACAGAGCCAGCCTCCCCGAGGCACCCACATTGGCTGGGTCCGCCCCGGAGCACAGGCAAGAGGATGGCCGCGGGGCCTGCCCACAGACAGGCGTCTGCCCCCACCCCGGGCCCCACCCGGGACACCCCCCAGATCCTCCCGGCCCTGCGGCCGCTCTCCCCACCCAGGGCCCCAGCTCGGCAGAGGCACGACGCTGCCCGGGGACCGCCACCTGAGTGCCATCTCCGTGCCCACCGGAGGCTGCAGAGGCCGGCCGGGGCGGAGGAGAGTGAGGGGAGGCAGGGCTCCGAGCCGGGCCTGCGCCATGCGGGGTCTTCCAGAGGACGCCAGGCCAGTGGGGCCCCGGCCGCCTGCCGCTGGAGCCGGGGGAGCCCTTGCACTGATCCGGCCGGGGCTCCCGGGGCCCTCACCTGTGGCCCCAAGCAAGGGGCGTCTGACCCTGACCGCCCCACCCCCAGGCTTCCCTCGGCCTCACAGTCCGGGGCACCCCATTGCAGCGCCCCGTTGGCCAGCACTGCCTCCCTCCGTTGGACGCCTGCTTCGCCCCAAGCAGGCTGCCCGCACTCAGCAGGCCCCCAGTCCGCCGCTGTCCTCCGCCAGGAGCTGCCTCCGGTGGCCCTGCGGTCGGCCACCCACGCTCCAGCCCAGCCCGCTGCTCCTCCTGGCCGCCGCCTCAGCCCAAAGCGGCAGAAGCCCTTGGGTCAGAGGGGCACACTTGGGCGTCTCTGCCCTTCCCAGCTGGCCCCAGACCCCCGGGGGCAGCCCAGGGTTGACAGCGGCCTCCAGGTACAGAAGCACCTTTGCCGAGCCGCCCCTTTCCAGCCCCAGCCACCACCCTGGGCATACCCCGGCCTCCTCTGGCACTTCCAGCCCAGTCCGGCCAAACCCGCGGGCCGCCCCATCCTGCCTGCCAGTCCCCGCGACCCTCAGCACCACAGCCCAGGGGCCTTCCTCCCAGCGCCCCTCAACCAGTCAGCGCCTCCAACCTGAGGCCACCCCTCTCCCTCCCGCCCACCCCGCGCTCGCAGGGAAATCCCCGAGGCTCATGGCTGGGGTGGGGGAGAGGCAGCCTCATCCGGACCCTGGCCCTTCACACCTTCCTCTCCCCACCAGCAGCTGGACCTCAGGCTGACCCCTCTCCAGCACTGGCCCTCACCTGGCCGGCCCCTGCCTACCCCTGGCTTCCCAGCCAGACACTGGTGTATAGCGCCCCCCACAGGCAGCTGGACCCTGGGCTGCCCTGGCCAGCCCTCTGCTCCCGGCCAGCACTGTCACTGAGGTGGCCCCGCGAGTCCCCAATGCCAGCTGTCCTGGCCCCCGGCGGGCACAGCCTGGGACAAGCACAGGAGCAGGTCCTGGTGGTCCATACCCCAAGACAGACGACACGGGCTCACAGTGGTGCGACTCCTCTTTGGCGAAGCCCTGCCTGGCTGTGCTGGCCCCGCAGCGGCCCCAGCCCAGGGCCTGGGCTCGCCCGCGTCATCTGGGAGGCCACGGCGCGCACAGCTGGGCTGCAGCCGGAATGGCCGAGTGGGCCCCAGTGCCAGGCCTGCCACTGGACGTCGGGCGCGGGCAGGTGAATCTAGCTGTCACCCTCTGGGGCGGCTGCAGGGACCCCCAGACACACGCGGCCACACAGCTGGGGGTACAAGTGAGCCCTGCAGATTACCGGGGCAGGACTCGAGGCCTGAGCCCGGCGTCCTGGGTGCCAAGCAGGCTGAGCCAGTGAATGGGGCTGTGTGGGCCAGGCTGCGGCCCTGCCCAGATCACACCAAAGCTGCTGGACAACCCCTCCCTCTGCCAGGACCGGCCCCGGGGCTGCAGCACCTGCGGCAGTGTTCCCACGCTCCCTCACACTCCTCCACACCCGCCCCGCCTCCAGGCCTTGGTCCCCAAGGAGACGGGTCGAGCGCCTAGGCCAGCCAGGGCTGGACAGGCAGGCCCGCCTAGGCCAGAGCCAGCAAGGGGTGGGAGTGCCCAGCCCAGGCTCCAGCATCCCAAGGTCCAGAGACTGGACTCAGAGCCCCGCCTGCCCTGGGCCTGCCAGCCCCTCCCCCAGGGCCGGGCAACTAGCAGAGGCTGGCCAGGGGCTGGCCAGGGCAGCACCCTGCCCTGCACCCCACTCCTATCAAGCAGCATCCCCTCGAAGACCCCTCCTGGCTGCACTGGTTGAAGGGCAGGGCTGCACAGGCTCCTGGGGGCACACGGCGCCCGCTGGGGCCAGGAGCGGTGCTGATACCAGCCCAGCACTCCCGCAGCCCCAGGCGGGCCCCAGGTAGGGGTGGCAGCAGGGCTGAGCCAGGCCCACCATGTTGAGCAGACCTGGCCCAGTGGGTCTGCGTCTCCTTCCAGCACCTTCCAAAGGGCCCACCGTGGGCCTGCAGAGGCCAGCACCTGCTGCAGCCAGGCCCGCCCACACACCCAGGCCCACACACCTGGGCCCTCATGCCCAGGCCCGCACGCCCAGGCCTCTACACCCAGGCCCACACAATCTCAGGCCCCCATGCCCGGGCCCGCACACCCAGGCCCACATACTCTCAGGCCTGCACACCTAGGCCCGTACACTCTCAGGCCTACACACCCAGGCCCACATGCCCAGACCCTCACATGCCCAGACTCGCACACTCTCAGGCCCGCACACCCAGGCCCACACACGCCCAGGCCCGCACGCCCAGATCCATACCCCCAGGCCCGCACACCCAGGCCTATATGCTCAGGCTCACACACTCTCAGGCCCGCATACCCAAGCGCACACAGCCAGGCCTCACGCTCTCAGGCCAGCACGCCCAGGCCCACACACCCAGGCCCGCACACGCCCAGGCCTGCACGCCCAGGCCCACACACGCCCAGGCCCAAACACCAATCCCATATGCCCAGGCCCACACACTCTCAGGCCCGCACACCCAGGCCCGCACACGCCCAGGCCTGCAAGCCCAGGCCCGCACACCCAGGCCCACACACGCCCAGGCCCAAACACCCAATCCCATATGCCCAGGCCCACACACTCTCAGGCCCGCACACCCAGGCCCACATGCCCAGGCCCACATAGCCAGGCCCATGCACTCAGACCCGCACACTCAGGCCCGCACTCCCCATCCCGGCACACTCACCTGCAGCATGAGCTCACACTCATCACGCCCCACGAAGATGAGCTCTCGCGGGAGGCGGTGGCGGGTGCCACTGCTGCTCACCAGGAACCAGGAGGTGGCGCTCATCTTGGCACTGGCCCTGAGGGGTGGGGTTGTCAGGGGCCTCAGGGCCGCCCCCCACCCCGCCCGCCTGTCACCCAGACCTCCCCAGCCACAGTGGCCTGGCCCCGTCAGCCTCTCCATCCACACCCCACTTCTCTCTCCTACCGGTGGGGGTGGCCCCACATGTGGCCCTGTACCCTGACCAGAGCTGCACGTGGGACACGGCGTGGCCCACTGGGGCCCCGTGATGCCAGGGGCATGCGCCCAGAACCAGAGGACCAGCCGCCTCCCACCGGTGACTCAGGGCTGCCCAGGCCGGGGCAGTCAAGAAGGGCCGAGTCATCAGCCCGCCGGCCACTGTCCCAGTGCCCCTGTGGTCAGGAGGAGGAGGCCCCAGGAGCAGCAGGTATGGGCAGGGGAGCATGTGGGGGCCCCCAGAGCCCAGGCCCCGGGTCAGCATGCTGAACTGTGAGCCCAGCTGTGTCCACGCAGAACGGACCCCACCCAGCGCACCTGACCCGCGCACGGCAGGTGAGGCGTGTCCCGAGGGAGGCCGGGGTCTGGGCGCTGCAGCCGCGGGCGCACAGGGCGCGACCACCTCCCCGCAGCCCGGGCGGCGGCCAGGACCCGGGAGTGGAGTGTCCACAAGGCGGTCGGGAGATTCCGCAGGAAGGGCCTGTGAGGGCAGAGGGCGGGAGTGAGCGAGGGGTGGTGCGCGTCCTGGGGGGACCCACGACAGCAGTCTCTGGCCAGCGAGATGCTGGGGGTGTCCAGAAACCGCGAGGGGCTTCGAAACAGTCAAGGGCAGCCCAGCGCAGCCCCACCCTGGGAGGGGGCCCGGGGGCCCCGGCGAGCGAGGGCCTGGGGCAGTGTGGGGGGCAGAGGGGTGAAGGCTTGAGGACCCTGCCGGGAGAGGGGCTGCCCCCAGGCCTGGCGCGCCGCGCCCAGAGTCGCCAGTGGCAGTGGGCGGGGCCCACTGCAGGCCCAAGCAAGGGCCCAGCCAGAAGGCCCCTCGCGTGCCCAGGGCTCCTGCCCTGCTGCCCTGTCCAGCCAGAGGCGCGGGCCCCGGAGGCCAGGAGGGGCTGGACCTGCAGCGGCCGCAGGGACCCCGGGAGGCCGGCGCAGGCAGCCGGGGAGGGCCCGCTGGCCGGCCGAGCGCCTGCCCACCCCGCGCCGGGTCCCCGGCGCCCAGCGCGGCGGGCCGGACCCGCCCAGGGAGGCCGCAGCCCTTGGATGCGGCGCCGCCCGGCCGCCTCCGGAGCAGGCCCAGGCCCGGGCCCGCCGCTCCCGCCGCCGCCGGCGCGTCGCGAGGAAGGAGGAGAACGAACGCCCGAACTTGCGGCCTCGGCCGCCGCGCCAGGAGCGCCGCCGCGGGGTGCGGGGGGGGCGCCCGCGGCGCCCCGCGGCTGGGGGGGCAGGGGCGGGGGGCGGCGGCGGCCGGGGCGCGCGGAGGGGCCGGCGGGGGGGCGGCGCGGGCTGGGGAGACGCGCGGGCAGAGGCCGGCGGGCGGGGAGCGGCGCCTCCTCCCGGGTCGGCGCTGCCGGGCGGGCCGGGCCGGGCCGCAGCCGGCCGGGGCGCGGGGGCCGCGATGCCCCTGGCCGGGCCGCGCAGACGCGCCCCCCGGCCCCGCGCCCCCCGGCCCCGCGCCCCCCGGCCCGGCGCCCCCCGGCCCCGCGCCCCCGGCCCCGCGCAGCCCCGGCCGCCTCCGCGGGGGACCGGCCCGGCCAGGTGCGCGCCGCCCCCGCGCCTTTGTGCGGCCCCGCCGGCCGCGCCGCCCCGGCCTCCGCGCTGCCCCCCGGGCCGCGGGCGCGCAGGTGCGGGCGGGGAGCCCCGGGCGCCGCGGCGCGGGCCGGCGGCCTTACCTGCGGCTCGATCCCCGCGCGGCCCGGCCCTCCCGCCCGGCCGGCGAGCGCTGGGCGGGGCCGCCGCCGAGGACCAGCCCGGCGCGGCCCGCACGCTCGCGGCAGCCCCGGCCGAGCGCACGGAGAGCGGCCGCCGGCGGCCTCGCGCGGCGGGTCCCTGACGTCTGCGGCCGGCCCCGCCCGCCCCCCGCCCGGCCCCGCCCGCCCCCCGCCCGGCCCCGCCCGGCCCCGCCCCCGGCCCGCCCCGCGCGCCCCGCCCGCCCGCGCCGGAAACCAGGTTAGGGCGCCAGGTGCGCGCCCCGGCCCCGCGGCCGGCCGCCCCGCCCCGGGCCCCGCGGGCCGTGCAGGCCGCCCCGGGGGTCGGCGGCCCCGCCGCGCCCCCAGCCCGCGCCTCGCCCTGCGCCCCGGGGCGGGCGGGGGCGACCGGGGGGCCGAGTCCCAGCCGCCCTCCCGCCCTCCGGGCCGGCCGGCGGGCGCGGGCTGGAGTCGGGGTCCCAGGTGCCCGCCGGCCCGGGCCGCGCCGCGGGCCGTTCCCAGAGCGGGCGCCGCGGAGGGGCGGCGGGTGTCCGGGCGGCGGGCGGGGCGGGGCGGGGCGGGGATCAGCGCCGGGGGGGGGGCCGGCCCGCGCCGCAGTGGACGGCGCCCTGGGAGTGGGGTGAGGACGGCGCCGGCGGGGCCGGGCCGCGGGGCGACCACGGCGGGACGGCCCGGGCCCGCGCCCCGCCCTCGCGCCGCCGCCTGCCGAGCCCTGGCGGCTGGGCTGGCCCTGGGGTCGGGGCCGAGCCCCCACGTCCACGCGCGCTCCGCGGGGGGTCGGACGGCGACGCCCGGGCCGAGGCCCCTGACGGGAGCCCCGGCTGTCGGGGGCGGTGGGGGAGGCAGGCGGGGGCTGGGACCTGCGCGGCTCACCCAGGAGTTTGGACCTGGCCGGAGGTCGCCCGCCGCGGTGGTGCCAGAGGAGGGCTGCTGCGCCGGGGCTGGGAGGGGTTTCTGAGCTCCCTGGGGGGGAGAAGAGGCGGGCCAGGCCCGTGTCCACCCTGAGGCCCTGGCCCGGGAGAGATGGGGCGGGGAGGGAGAGGTGGGCATGCAGGTTGGGCGGCGCCTGTTCCGCCAGCACCTGCGCCTGGAAGCCCCGGCCCCACCCCGGCCCTGGCTTCCGGGTGCCGCTGGCTTCCAGCCCAGAGGTCGGGAATTTGCCCTGCAACCTCCTGGCCTGGCGCAGACCTGGCTGCTCACCGAGGCCCCGCCCGGCCCTCCCTGGATGGGCAGCCCCACCCTCAGACTCAGCGTCCTGCCGGCGTCACCACCTCCGGCCCCCACCTGGGCAGGTGGCGCTCCATGAGGTCTTTCTTCTCTGCGCCTCTTCCTCCCGGACTTGACTTCCTCCGAGGCAAGGGACGGGGAGGCAAGGCCATGCCCAGAGGTCCACCTGGAACCCCTGCTGGCTGGTCTGGGGAACAGGTGAGCTGGGCACAGAGGTGGAGAGACCCGAGGACCCTGAGCTGCCTGTGGAATCTGGGGTGCAGGTGGAGCTAGGGGAGCAGCTGTCATGGCTGTGGTCCTTCCATATGGAGGGACCTAGGGAAGGACAGAGGGAGCCAGGAGACCTGGAGAGGGGCCCAAACTGACCCCCGCAGAGGCCCTCCTAGGCCCAGAGACAGCGGGCCCATGGGGGAGGGAAGCCACAGGGAGGGGAGCCTGGGGGCCAGCAGGGGACCAGCAGTGGCCGAGCCCCGTCCCTGCAGGGAGGTGCTAACCGGGAGCGCGGCGGGGCACGTGGGGCTGCTATCCCACTGATGAGCAGGACAGCCCAGTGGAGCAGCCGGGCTGGGAGGACAAGGGCCTGGGGTCAGGGGCTCCTCCGGGGCTCAGGTGAGGCCACCCTGGGCCAGTGAGCCGCTCCCAGCAGGTGCCCCAGTGGCCACAAGGCAGGGACACGGCAGGCACCTGCCACGCAAGGCGGGTCACCACGGGGCCATCCAGGAGGGCTAGGGCAGCGAGCACCCCTGCTGCACGCCAGGCCAGCGGGGCTGGGCCCCCACATGAGGCCCGGGGAGGCAGGCGGGGCAGGGACAGGGCAGCGGGGGCTGAGTCTGGGTGGGGAGACGGGCGTGCGATGCGCATCGGCCTGCCTCGGGGTGACTGTGGTGGGGCTTACATTTTGCCACAATAATTAAAAAAAAGTTCAAAAAAGCAGGACGAGCTGGTAAGGTCCTAAGGAGGTCACTCTAGGCCGCCCTGGGGGCAGGTGCTGGAGGGCCCACTGGGGCGGTCTGAGGCCTCCAACGGTCACTGACCTGCAGTTGCTGGCTATGTGGGGGCTGTCTAGACACAGGGGCGAGGCAAGGCCCACCCTGGACCTCACGCGGTGAACAGCAGGTCAGACGCAAGGAGCCACTGCAGCCACAGTGCGGGGCGGCCCAGCTTCTGTCACATTTTTTTTTTTTTAAGATTTATTTATTTATTTATACAAGCACTGGGTACAGTCAGAAGCACGGGAGGGTGAGAGAATTCACCAGAGCCAGAGTGGGGAGCAGAGCAGGCAGAAGGACCAAGGTACACTGCTGAGGGGGGCAGCGGGTGGCGGGAGAGGTCTGCGCGCCATGTGGGACCCTCCTCCGGTGGCCGGGGAGCAGCCGGGGATCGAACCGGCGCCTCAGAGGCTGCGGGCAGCTTCGCAACCCAGCGCTCAACCGCTGCGCCACCGGGGAGGCCCTTCTGCCACATTTAAAAAAAAAACTAGGGTGCAGGCCAGAGTTGGGGGGTGAGAGGACACCCCAGAGACAGCAGGGAGCAGAAAAGGCGGATCTACTGAAACCCACGGCTGAGGGGAGCAGTGGGGAGACAGGAGGGCCGCTCCCTGGGCTGGGACTGGTGCTGCAGGGGCTGCGGTCAGCCCCACCGCGCTGGGCTCCCCCTGCGCCCCCGGGGAGGCGGTTCTGCCCCTTTTACCGAGTTACAGGTTGGGGCATTTTGCACAGAAGCCACCTTGGCGGCCGAGGAGCGGCCAGAGCCGGCGAAGCCGAGTGTAAACCCGGGCGGGTGCGGGGAGCGCCGGGGTCCTCGGGGAGGCGCTGGGCTCCGGAGCGGGGTTGGAAACCCCAGGCGCGTCGGGCGGGCAGGCGCGGCCTCCAGGACGGCGCGTCCAGCCCCCAGGGCGAGACCGGCCCGCGGCCCCGGAGACGGCCCTCGGGCTCCGGCGGCCACGCCCGCCGTCCACCCAGCGGCGCCGCGGCGCTCTCGGGGCTCAGCCCGTCCAGCGTCCACTGGGGGCGAACCCCACGCCCAGCGGGCCTCGAGCTGCCGACCGCAGCCCAGGCCGGGCCGAGCAGCCGCGCCCCCGCCGCTGGGCGGCGCCCGAGAGCCGGGCCGAGCCCCGCGCCCCGCCGGCGCCTCCTCCGCGCGGGGCTGGGGCTGGGGACGCTCACCCGCCTGGCGGGACCCCTGGAGGCTCCAGGCGCCCCCTCGGCCCGCGCAGCGCCCCTCCCCGGAGCAGGGAGTCCTGGCTCCGGGGGAGGGTGCGGGGCCTGAGCAGAGGGCCTGACAGCCTGCCGCGTGGGCGCTGCCCCCGGGACGCCGCCCCCTCCTGAGGTCCAGTGCAGCTCCAGGGAGCCAGAGGGGCAGTGGGCTGGGGCCCAGCTCTGCCCCAGATGCACCCCAAGCCACGCTGGCAGGGCCACCTGCCCCAGCGCCTCACCCCGCCTCCCCGCCCCCTGGCCCCGCGGTGCTGCCCAGCTGCACAGTGGTCC